TCCTAGAACTTCAAGTCACCCTGGCAGATACGGAAGCTCTGATTTCAATCTATAATAATACCACTAAAAACAATTCGATAGAAAGTCGTCTCAGACCTTCAAAGAACTTACTAAATTGTAATTGCATAGGACTCCGAAGAAGCCAAACTCACCCTTTGTGTTGTAAATTCTAAGGTACAGCAATGCAAAAGTTCCTTCAGATAAGTTTATCATTTTAGCTAGAAACATAAGCAGTAAACTTGGAAGAATTATGATAGGTAGCACTTATTACATACTTTGCAATTCCCATTTTGGAGTAAAAAACAAATTTGTAGCATAACTAGAATACCAATAAAGAAAACGTACTTAGCTATAATTCAAATTCTTTTCGCAAACAATTGATTTAAAGATCACTTCTATAAACTTATAAACCACAACCTTTACACTATCTTTCTACTACAAGTGAGCACTTTGACATAACAACATATGAGGTACGATGAGGTATGCTTGAATAGTATTAGGACAGACTGAAGGTGGCGTTTTGACAAACTATCGGAGAAGTTTTGCCAGTAAAGACTTGCTGTTTGAGATAAACCCCAGTGAAACATTTTGTGGAAAAAATACAACTCATTAAGGTGTCTGAATGTACAGTGCTCGGCATAATTAAGTACACCCTGTTTTGAAAATGAATATTTTTATCAATTACTCAGTGAATATAGGCAATTTTGGTGCATTTAAACAAAACAGATTTATTGAACATATATGTTTATTAAGATAATATTTTAGCCACCAAACATATTCAGAAATTGAAAGATAATACAATATAAATTCAAACTAAATATTGCAAAAGTTTTTTTCTAAATGTATTTTTTGTGCTTCTCTTGATTTTTCCTCTTTTTAAATTTGTATTTAATATTTTTCTATAACATTAATAAATTTGGGTGTACTAGTTTTGGACCATTATTATTAGTTATTTTGTTAGATAAGCTCCAGGTTTGGCGTCAGTGCCCACCAATCATATATATCAGACCCTCTAGTTTTTCACGATTTTGTAATAATTTATTTTCACGATTGTTTGGCGATAAAAATTATTGATTTTGTGGTGGTAAGTACCAGAAATGTGTAAATAATATATATATATATATATATATATATATATATATATATATATATATATATATATATATATATATATATATATATATATATATATATATTATATATATTGTATATATACATATATTGTCTTTTCCAGACAAGATCTAAAACAGATCTAGAACGGTAGGGTCTAAGCCAAAGGAAGGTTGTATAACTCTTATTTTTATCCACAATCTTACTTTCTCTCAGATTTTAACATCTCACATGCACCTCAATCAGGACATGCGTTAGGGCTTCCCCTAACCATAATACACCAAAACACGGATTGCCGTAAAACTCATCAATGGCAGGGAAGGGTTTTCTCTTGTCAAATGCAGGAAAGGAGTTAAACGAAAACATTTATGCAACGTCCATAAGTCACATAAAACAATACATTTCAAACTGAAATAAATACAATTTGATCATATGGTTTGAAATTGGATGAGATATTTTACATGTTTTTGCGATTTTTTTTCAGCGATCGCGGAATCACAAAAAACTAGGGGGTCTGATACATGCACAAATATAATATTGTATAGCGTCCTATTAGAAATATGAATTAAAAAGATTTGTAAAAGGTGCACTTATATATGCTGAGCACTGTAGACACACTTTCTATTTAAATGCAGAAAGTATATTAATATTGCATTTTTTTATCCTTTTGTTTTTAGTCTTTTGTACTGGGGAAGTGCAGTATATTTACATTTTAATGAAGGTAGCAGCAACCTCAGCACAATTGAATTTTTAAAGTTAAAACATTTGAGTTTAAAACATACAGTTAGGTATTTTCCTCTTTTTAAGTCTCACATTTACACAAGACAATAGTTTACTAGTCTATTAATTTAATATATTAATTTTTTCATCGTTGCAATTTTACAAAAAAAATAAAATAGTTCTTTAGATAAATGTTTTTTTTAAATATGTCTATTTTTCTACCACACATGAACTAAATAATAGGCTCGTGCTCGTGAACTGAACAGTTCGCATCAGTCGCTCACAGATGCTGCTTAAATGTAGCAAATTAGTGTCGGTTTTACAAATGTAAAAAATAAATGAACATTTCAGACATTCATGACAAACGTTAGACATGATTTTAAAATACTATGCAGTTAAAATATGCTTTTGTTCACAAATTTAATCTGGTGAAAAAGGATGAATTGATTAGAATAAATCTGATTTATGAAGTAACTGGTAATATCAAACACATGATATGTTTTGATGCCGTGGCCCAGTACTGTCCTTTTCTTGTATGAAAATGTGAAGAAAAATATTTAGTTAGTTCTTTTTTTTACCTCTCATATGGCACGATTTATACTTAGTGATTTGGCAAGAGATGTAAATACCATGTTTTTCCATGTTTACAATCAATCAAATTGCTGGATGAATAAATATTTGTTTTGTAAATAAATATTTGAAATATAAATACTAATTCTTTTCTATTTACATTCCCTTAAGATATATACGTAATTATACTATTAAATGAGATTATTTAATATAATATCTTTATGGAATATTTGAACCGTATATGGGTTTTCAATTATACAGCAGTTCTTTTAGGACTCTCTTCACAGTATGTACAAGTGAGCAATATAATTCCTGTCGATGCTGATGATATATATTTTTTTTGTTTCATGGATCAAGAGAAAACATTTGTCAAAGGAACACAGCCGTCAACCCTGTTTTATATTATAAAACCCCTTTTAAATCTACTTGAGTACAAACTCACGCGCTTGATCCAGCCCTCTCATATTGTACAGTGTATGACTCTGAAAAGGCTGATGTAGTCAGAGGACATGCAGATGGTCAAGGGCAAAGCTGATAGTCATTGATCCAGAAGTGCTTGCACCTGGCTCACATAAAACCCTGGTCAATTCTGTCCTTGGTGTAAAAACACCTCGGACAGTTACATGGTACGCTGGAAGACTTGGTTTTCAAAAAATAAAAAGATTCCACACTATTTACCTCATGATGAACAATGAAACGATGGATTGACAGTAAAAGAACAGGCATATAGCTTAAAAGGGGGAAATCACACTAGATATTGACTGTCATTCACTTACATTAATATTCAGGCAAAAAAAATGTGCGTTTTATGTTTCGCTGTGTACAAATAATTTGAGCTGCCTATTTGAATAGCTATAGAATATTTGACCAAAAGAGGATATTGGCATTGTATTACAATTTAAAATGGGGGGATTGTTCACCATCATGTTTTATATACACTGCAAAGTTTGAGTTTCGATAAGCAGTGGCAAGTAACCTGTTACTGTTTACAAACTACATGAGTCTGTTACTGATTACACATGACAAAATTTAGTCAGGGATGTTATCTAGATTACTTATTTAGGTAATACTCAAAATACTTTTGGATTATTTTTACATTACTCTTTGACCTGAGCTGGTAATTAGTCCAAATTTGTATTGTTTTAAATGCAAAGTATGTAATTTTCACCACTATAGGGCACATATTCACAACAAACAAAGGTGTAGTTTGATGACACATGACTAGGCCCACATGAAATCTGCATGTGCAGAAATCTACAGATTTTCAGCCCATCATTAAGTCTACTTATTTAGTTGTGAAAAAAGTGTTTTTTTTAATAAATTTCAGTAATATTGCTGACTAATATGAAAACATATGATTTACTTATAATACAGTTTGTAAAGTAATCTTTTCTGTTTTTTAGTAGATATATGGTAGATATATTATATGAGAGACTTGTTTTCTTCACCAAATAAATTGATTTAATAGGATTTGCAATGTAAACATTAAATAAAAGTTAAAATTGATAATTTTTATATAACATATTAAGTTTTCAGTTATGATACACAATATTTCCACATAAATAGGCAATTTTTTTTATATAATATTCTGTGCAGAAATAGCAAAAAAATTTGTCATCTTCATTACATCCTACAGGACTCCTGCAAAGTCATGTTCACGGATGAATTAATATTTCAGTAAAGTATATTCAATCGCACAACATATTAAAAAATATTTGGTGTTTGCCTGTTTTCTATTAAACCTAAAATGGAAATTGAGGGACATGGTCAGTGTCACTAGGTAAAATTGCTTATTTCTTTGGATGTTTAACATTCTTCTGAACATTTGGGAGAATCTAAGTGCATACATTTTTGGATATTTTAATGAAAACATCTTAAATATTGTGCCTTTAATCCCTAATTTTATAACATGGATCAGATATGAATTTATATGACATTGTCATAGCACTTTGTTTGCTCTTTCATTATTGTGAGGGATTCTATTGCTCTTCTAATTTTGTAATACAATGTTTTGGACATTGATAATACAAACAAATTTTACTTAAGCATTAAAGCCTGGAGTAAAGGTTGCTGATTTGCAAATACCGAAATTATTTTAAACACATAAATAGAAAACAGTGATTTTAAATTCCAATCATATTTTTCACATTATTCCTGTATTTTGAATGGCAGTGTAATACAAGTTTGGATTAAACTTTAACATTTAAACAACGTTTTGAAGTATCAACCTAAAATAAAGTCATTTCACATATGCAAAATCTAGTGTGACTGTCCCTTAAAAGCTTTTGATAAGATATATAATACTAAATGGATCAGAGTATTTGGTCAGATATCACTAAGGAATATGGGGTTTTAGAATTAAGTTAGAATATAGTACACCAACTCAGTCATTTACTGGTCTGTGAGTGAAATAAGCTATCAATTGTAGTTAGGAATTAAGCCAATAAGAGGAAGATAGATAGAAAGATAGATAGAAAGAGGGATAAAACGTAATATTGTGGAAGATGTGACATCTACTAAGCTGGTGTCTTTTTAGACTATGTAGTGCAAAAGTCATCTGATATGTGCTGGGGGCATTATTGCTCATGGTGTAGGTAGGGGTTACTGGGATGTTCCATCTATGCAGGGTGAGGAATATTTGGTGGTTGAGCTGAGCCCCTCAAGAGTAGATGGTAATGACTTCACGTCCACCTCCACGCACAAGAAGGACCCTGTTGAGACCTTCAGTCAAGACCTCGAGGAACTCCATGTCTGTGTGGCAGAAGTTAAGGGGCAAACTTTGACCTATGAGAGCTGGTAATTAAATACCTTTCCAGTTAATGTTGTGAAAAGGCCTGCACTTGTAATTGTGAAAGAAGCAACACAATCTCACGGCAATTCGTAACTTTTTCATTTAGTGGCTAATTCGTATGAATTCGTACGATCTAATTCGTACAATTTAGTACGATTTGCTTATCCCCCAATGACGGTTGGGGTTAGGGGTGGGGTCAGGTGCCACGCCTTCTTTTTAAAATCGTACCATTTCGTACGACTGAACTCGTATGAATTCGTACGAATTAGCCACTAAACTGGCAAAACGTAAAATACTTACGTTTTCTCGTGAGATCAGGCTGGAAAGAAGACATTATAAAGTGATACAAAGAGCAGTAGCTTCTACTTTGGTAAAACTCAAATCAAATGTTATGGGTATACCATATCCGTCAACCAACCTGGTTTTAGTCTCTCATTTTTTACCATTCTATCCAGGGCTGGCCCTGTACATTTGAGGGCCCTAAGCAGAATAATTTTGGGGCCCTACCTTGCTCTAAATAGTGGAGTATTACCATTGTAATCTGGCACACAATGATTTTATTGCTTATTAAATACAATCAATGTGACAAAAAAGCCTGATTTCTACTTAATATCTGTCTGAATGATTTGGACATTTTAAAACAACACTATCTTTGTCAACTAGCAGCTTCAAAAATGAAGAATCAAATTATCTTTATTAAGGCACCAGTGATTCCTACTTTACATCCTTCTGGATTGTTTAAAACATATTCTATTTATTTAGCAAACTGATTAAAGATTAGATAAAACATTCTTAGTTTAGTTATTTCTGCAATAAAAGATAACAGTTAGACAAAAATAAAAATGCATTAATTAGTAATAAAATATACATTCTGAACTAAACTAAACAACAACAACAAAACAATTAAAATTAATGTAAAGATTGATCCATAAATAAATATGGAAAACAGTAAATATGAAAAAAATTATGAAATCTTAATATCAAAACAAGAAAAGGAAAGCAACAAATGCTGAGTTAATGTTTATACTCAAACACAAACTATTATTCCCAGGGGCTGATTTAACCAATAAGCAAGGTAAGCGGCCGTTTGGGGCCCCAGGAAATAATGTTCACAATACTTAACATTAACAGAATTTGTAATGTAGTCTAATGTGTAAACTTTAAGCTGTGGTTTTGCACTTCTGACTCTGAATGTCTCTGGGACAGAAGCAGCTGGATGAATGATAAAGCTTTATATAAAAGTGAAACCATCAACAAAAGCCTGATACTTTCTAAGTTTACGAATACAAACACAGCTGTTTAGAAAATTGACCTGTATTTTAAAATGTAAAATTAAATTAAGATGTGTGAATGGTCTTGTACGGAAAAATTCCGGAATGTCCTTGCCTGTGTAAAGAGTGTTTTTTTTTTTTTTACTTCACTATTAAAGTCGTTCCGGAAATTTTCCGGATTTTTACCATTAGCACTGTGTAAAAGGGGCTATTGAAGATAATTTGTAAAAATACAAATAAAAATGGTTTCAGCAAGGAAATGGCTCTCACCATTAGCAGGTTGTGGGGCCCCTAATGGTGAAGGGGCCCTAAGCAGCCTCTTAGTTTCCATATATGGAAGGCCGGCTCTAATTTTATCCCATTATCATCCTGTATAAATATTGTCCAATATTTCTAATCTTTCTATGACTGGTGTCAGTAACATCTACATAACGCTGATCCTCCAGCGATATCTTATGACAGTTCGTAACTTTTTAATTAAATTTACTATCTCATTTGTGTAATTTAGTATGATTTGCTCATCCCTTAGTGATGATTGGGTTTAGGGATGGGGTGTGGTGCGACTTGAATTTGTACAAATTAGCAATAAAACTAATAAAACATGAAAAGTAGTGTTTACACTTTATACTTCCAAACCACCAGGAGGCGCCCCTTGCTCTTAAATGTGATATAATTACAAGAGATGTTCAAGAAAATTAAAGAACCCCTATTAAGGGTTTTTGAAAATAAGCTTGCATGCAGTGTGTAAGTGAATGAAAACATCCAGCTAGTTTAAATCTCAAAAAGTGCATGGTGTTTAAAACTATGGATTTTTTAACAAAATGTTTGACTCCAAATCAAATAAATGAATCGTATTTGGTTCGGATCTTTTACCTGAATGCATCAAGGTCGATACGGTATATCACCAAATATGAAGTGCCGGATCCGGTAAAACATCTACACGCCTTTCCGTTTACTATGGCACTAGCGAAGCATAGAGGATCATGGGATTGATCATGACACAAAGATGACAATCACTGACAAATGGAGATTTAGCTGTGGGTAATAAAGAGATAGAGTTCATTTTCACAACAACAACAACAACAACAACAACACAGTATAGCTAACCTAGTGCTTCGTTTGTTCCTGTCATTTGTCTGATGATTGATACAATAATCTATGCTGCAGTGCGGGATTCCTTAGGAGTTTGCTATTAAAGGATGTAGCACCTAGAGACTACTATGTATGGGACTTTGTCAGTAGCCCCTTTCACACATACAGACCTTTTCGGAAAATTAGCTGGAGTTTTCTGGAAAGGTCTGTATGTGTGAACAGGCCCTTTTTGAAAATACCTGTAAAATCGTTCCGGCTATGTTCCGGAAAGAAAATGTTGTAACATTACCGGTAATTTGCAGGAATGCTGCACTGTGTGAACGCAGAAGTTTGCCGGAAACAGTGCGTACAAGAACATGCTGACGTGAGAGCGTGCTCTACTTTAGTCAACCAGAACAGTCAGATGCATTCACGTCCACTCGGTTTATGAAAATAAAATCCTTTAAATATTTTTCCTGACACATTTAGCTGCTAGATGTTAGTCAGATAATGTTTATATGTTTCTTTTTAATGCCAACTGAGTAAATAATTATCGATAAGATGCTTCCTTCAGTTGCTTGACGCATCGCATGTGCACGTGAAGCAGCCGGTGAGCGCCAGCACACACACATATTACGTACATCTCAACATGCAAAAGTGTTCCTCTATATGTTTTCATACAAATTGTTCACAATATTGATCCATCCACAGAGTTTGTAATGTTGTCAAATGTTTACTAATACAAGTGCAGCCGTTTAGAGATTATTTCTGGTTGTGATGTCTGAATTTACCACTATTTTGGAATTAATGTGTGAATAGTCTTTTCTGGAAAAATTCCGTAACGTCCTCGCCTGTGATATTTACTGGTATCACTGTGTATAAGGGGCTAGTAACTTTTACAGTTCATATGGACCAGTTTCTTCTTCCTCCGAATCATACCATGTACTGTAAGTGCCATAAAATTGTTGCCTTGTTTTCTGTAGTTTGCAAAATATGAATTTAATTGTGTGTTGTAACTTGTAATCCCTCCATGCGGCTTGTAATCACTTATCTATTATAGACCAGTGCTTGTAATGTATCTCTCAGGCTAAATCTGTATAGGTTATTCACACATTGTGTGCAAAACCACGCTGAAAACGCGACGTGTGCTTCTTCTTGTACCGATTTAAATGTCATTTCTCATAGCTATGGCAACCATCAGCTGTACCTCACACACACCGCGCAGTCCATTTTCTAAGTAGTGAATGTGTGTTGGTGTTATTACTTGGAGTTAATAGTACAGTAATATGCTGGTGTTCAATTGCATTGGTTTAATGCTTTCCTGCGTTGGCCTTTTACAGACTCTGTGCTACTTCATAGCTGTGGTAGGCATTTCTCTCTGTCTCCCTCTGAACCCAGTTAGAAAATAACAACAGAATGGGCCATCGAACCAATAACTGCAGATTAACCTTACACAAAGGAAGGGTTTGGGAACAAATGAATTTCTGAACAAATCATATGGGAGTCGTTGGGATAATTAGGTAAAGATAAATGCATATTATATGACAATGGAATTGTTTTTTGACCTTGCATGCAAATCAGCCTGTTGTTGGAGACCTATAGGGCCTCTTTATGCATTTGTTTGGCTTATAAATGCTTGAAACGAATATAAACATTGCCGCATCCCTTTCTTTCTATCAAAGCCATGCAACGGCTCATTGCCCTTCCCATGCAACCTCTGAATCAGTCAATTCATGTAGGTTAATGGTACGTGACTGTCGGACGTGCTCCATAGATGCTGTTCCCTTAGCAGCTTCTATATAAGAGATTTGAAGACGAGCGCTTTGGACTCTTTGGAATTTATGTTTTATCATCCAAACACACATAATATATATATATATATATATATATATATATATATATATATATATATATATATATATATATATATATATATATATATATATATATATATATATATATATATATATATTTTTTTTTTTTTTTTCAGTCTATGTTACAAATTGTAAAGGTACAAATGGAATCAAAGATACCAAAATATTAAATTATGTCTCATGTAAAAAAGAAGAGATAAGTAAAAGAAAAAAAATAAGTTTAAGTAATAGACGAATGATGTATGTGGTATTGGGGTGGGAAAATAATAAGCTTGTGCTTCATCCCACTCCATTTTCGATCATGTTGAAATCAATTTTTTGTTTATGATGTTTTATGTATAATATTTCTGTTCAAAAATAAATTAATCAAATTGAATTAAATCAAAACATGAGAACATGTCAGACTGGGCATGTGTTATCTTAAACTCAGAAAATTAGAGATTAACTTGCTACTCTTCAGTAAATAACTATAGAAACTTTAATCAGCATCAGTGTGTGTGTGTGTATATATATATATATATATATATATATATATATATATATATATATATATATGTATGTATGTAAATTATAAAGTGAGGAAAAAGTGAATGAGATTTGATAAAAATTCAAATTGTTTACTAGGCCATTATTTTTAATAGGCATTTTCTATTGTATGCTATTTAATCTATATATTTATTTATCTATATATATTAGAATCTCTGTATTTTCTAATTGCAGTTTTGACAGCCAGGTAAGGGGTGTACATATTTATGACATTTTTTTTATCATTTAGACCAAATTTAAACTTTCTGAACACAATGTTTCATGTTCATAGGTCATAAACTAAGAAATCATTTAGAAATTGAAGACAGAAGTTGTTAAAAATATCCTGTAAGATTTAGAACACAGTAATCTTGATGGCCTAAAAACAGCTTATGCTGAAGCAAATCAGCCAAAATTACAGGTTGCCACTTTATTAAGCAATTGTGTGGTTAAACACTGCCTCAGCAGAAAATCAATGACTGCTTCTACATCCTTGCCTATTCAGCTCAGCCCAGCAATTCGCACATGCAGTAGTTAAATAATGAGGAAGGCAAATGAAGGTCTACTCTACACCAAACAAAAAAGATGACTCTGAAGACAACAAGATGCTTTGTAGTTCAAAAAAAAAAAAAAAAAAAAAAAAACATGGACAATGTCTTCCTTCTGATTATTAGGAATGAGTGGATTCATTTTTTTTTTTTTTTTTGGTCTTTGTTTATTTAACCACTGATTTCTTGTCAAATAAGACACAACTTTAAATTGGATTTTCAGGAAGACTGAAAGTAAAAGACAATGCTGTGCCGACTATTAGGTCTAACAACAATATTGCACCACACAATTGTGATTAGTTGTTTTTAGTATGGTCACTATTTGTTTGTTAGTACTGGACATTTGATATCTATTAAACATTGATGCACTTTTAAATTTAAATGACTATGAAGGATAGAGGCTGTCAAACATGCATGTATAAGTTTAAAGTTACATCAGTTGGGCACACAGCTATTTTTTCTAACATTTGCAAACAGTCACACCAGTATGAATTTATTTCAGAGCTTTATTTCAAAATTTCTTCCAATTAAAAAATAAAAAATAAAACTAAATAATGTATACATTTATAAGTGGACCTCAGAGAACATTACAAAAATAAATTAATAAATAAAAAGTAATAATCCCTTCTGACTAGTTTCTTTAAAGGTGACAGAAATTCTCATTCTGAAAACGTAGCCCTATATACATTTCTGGAGATCGCAAAGTCTTAGCGAAAGAGCAGAGTGGGTCAGTCGATCAGTCAGTCAGTCGGTCAGTCAGTCAGTCGAAATGGGGCCTCGTCCCGGATATTTATCTGAGACATTAAATAAGATCAATTAAGGTAAGATAAAATAAATCATCTGGAAATGGAATAAATTGAATTCATCAAGAAAATTATTTTAAAAAGTAATTTTTGAAATTAAGATTTCTTAAATTTATCAGATGGTAATCTTTGAGAAAAATGACCAAAGAAAAGCTGTTGTTGTTTTGGCGTGTTGTCTGTTTGGTGTTGTCCGTGTGCGTTGTCGCTGTTACTGATGTGTGCTTTGATTGAGATCTATTGATGTTGACTTTGAGTGAGTAACTGATGACTTTGAGTGAGATTTGTTTGAGAGTTCTGACGTGTGTTTCTACATCTATAGCCCGCTAATGCTCCATTCAAAACCTTCTGTGACTTGACAAGGGAGATCTGGAACAACATAGTAAGTCACGTGACATACATATTTGCACACAGGATTATTGATGTATAGACACACTAGTTAGCGAAGTGCGCTAATTTTGTATTTTTATTTATTAGTTAGAGTAAGTTCAGGGCGCTTTGCGCTGAAGACTTTTCTTTTCATATTGTTATTTTCTTATTTAGTGGATTGGAGAGGAGATTAAGGGAATGTTTTTGTTATATTTATTTATTTGGTTTCCATGCGCAAACTTCAGTTCCCTCTCCTATTTGTCTTGGTTCTTTTCAAATTTATCTTCTTGTTTGTAAATATTGTAAATAATGTGGGAGCAATAAATCTTTTGCGGTGCTAATTTGTTGTTTGGTGTTTTCTTTTGCCATTCTTCAACATCAGTTTATACTTTGGTCATCTTTATGTTACTCCTTTTAATACCCTAGACAAATTGCCATCAAGGATCGTAACATGAAATGGGTAGATTTACGAGAGAACAGCAGGCATGAATGGCACTCTTGAGAGAAATGTGAGTTCTCAAAAAGCATGAACAGTGGCCTCTGGTGGATTCAAAATAAAAACTGCAGACAAAAAAAAAAAAAATTAAAAATAAAAAGTACCTTCTGGGACATATTTGGCGCTCTCCAGAAATGTAAATAGTGGTACATTTTCAGAATGAGCCTGGGTTAAATGCATTCAGACAATATGTTAAATAGTTCTTTGAAGTCTAAATAAAAGATATGTAGCTTAAATAATTGCATAAATTCCCCTAAAATGGTTTTACAGGTCCATTTCCAATCCTAGGAACTGGCCCTAATATGATACAGTTGGTTTAGACCAGAGCTGCCCAAAGCAGGCTAAAGTTGGCCCATTGTAACCTGTGATTTGGCCCACCATCCCATCTAAAAATGATGGAGAGGGTTGGAGTGAATGCCTTTTCACGAATTTGACCATTTTTTTTTTTTGTGTGCAATGTTTATCTGTTATAAATGAGATTGTTTTTTTTTTTTTTTTTTTTACTGTAATACAGTCATTATAAAATATATATATAAAAAAAAATACTGTATTAGTTAATATAAAACAATGTTTTCTAGTTATTTAAAAAAAAAAAAAAAAAAAAAAAAAAAAAAATATATATATATATATATATATATATATATATATATATATATATATATATATATATATATATATATATATATATATATATATATATATATATATATATATATATATATATATATATATATATATATTATTAAATAAAAAAGGAAATTACTAATGGCAACTATATTTGCCTGCGGCCCACAAGCCTCAATACTGCTTGGTTTTTGGCCCTTCATAAGAAAAAAGTTTGGGCACCCCTGTTTTAGACCATATTTGGAAGAGTTGAGAATAATAACAAGGAGTTCTGATGATTACTGAGCTGCTTATGTCAGTGCCTAAATCTTGCTCTCTCTTTCTCTCTCTCTCTCTCTCTCTCTCTCTCTCACACACACATAGTACAATGTACTCTAAAATATAAAAGTGCAAAATAACCAGTTTAGTTGGCAAAAAATATTTTAACAAATTGAGTAAATTCCTTGTTAAATGACTGTCTCTTCACCTGAACTGGTAGAGCGGTTTTATGTTTGCTAGAAGGAGTGAGTGAGCTATCTTTATGCCATCAGAGTAACCTAGTTTGCTTCTGAGGTGTATTGTGGATGAAATATAGGCTAAATTATAATTGTACCCAACAAAAAGGGGCTGACAGATATGTTTTGAGAGTTGTATTTTGTGGTTTTGACATATATTAAAACACAGGCAGGAATTAACAACAATCTCCACTTAAACGGATTATTTTTTTGAAGATATTAGAATGATCTCACTCCTGAAAGGGCCAATAGAGAGGTGTTTAGAGAAGAAAAAAAGGATACAGTTCTCCTCTCCAGTGCGGTTCCTAGGTGGTCCAGGCATGTTTAGCAGGACTAGTTTAGCTTCTTGCGATTTCTTCACAATGACCTCATTGAGCTTCTGCGCATGGTGCATGCGTCTCACATTGGACTGATTCCTGTTTCAAACATCATATAAAGACCGTTGCAAGGAGTTTTCTTCCTTCATTGCATGATTACATTTTTTTACACTCCTGCTAATCAGAGATTGAGTTTACAGCATTTATTTAAATGTTAAGGTATAATTAAGTATGAGATTTTTTTTAATGAGAAAGAAGTAACATTTGTGTTATCTTAAAATGTACTCACAGGTTCTCCCATTCCCTGAGGCGTAAGCAAAAAGAAAATAATGGTGAATAACACAGTGAAAAGAAAAATACAGGGAAACAGCACATATCGGATTACAAACATATATTCACTCACAGGTCACTTTATTAGGTACAACTGTCCAACTGCTCATTAATGCAAATTTCTAATCAGCCAATCACATGGAAGCAACCTAATGCATTTAGGCATGTACACAATGGTCAAGCTGATCTGCTGCAGTTCAAACCGAGCATCAGAATGGGGAAGAAAGGTGATTTAAGTGACTTTGAACCTGGCATGGTTGTTGGTGCCAGACAGACTGGTCTGGTGCTGATCTACTGGAATTTTCATGCACAACCACCTCTAGGGTTTACAGAGAATGGTCGGAAAAAGGAAAAAAAATATCCAGTGAGCGACAGTTCTGTGGGCGTGAATGCCTTGTTGATTCCAGAGCTCAGAGGAGAATGGCCAGATCTCTGAATGTACAACCCCTTGAACCTTGAGGCAGATGGGCTACAGCAGCAGAAGACCACACTGGGTGCCATTCCTGTCAGCTAAGAACAGGAAACTGAGGCAACAATGCGAACAGGCTCACCAAAATTGGATGATAGAAGATTGAAAAAAACGTTGCCTGGTCTGAAAAGTCTCAATTTCTGCTGCAACCGTCAGATGGTAGGGTCAGGATTTGGTATCAACAACATGAAAGCATGGATCCATCTTGCCTTGTATTAATGGTTAAGGCTGCTGGTGGTCTAATGGTGTGGGGGATACCTTCTTGGCACACTTTGGGCCCATTAGTACCAGTTGAGCATCATGTCAATGCCATAGCCTACCTGAGTATTGTGCTGACCATGTCCATCTCTTTGCTACCACAGTGTAGTCATCTTCTGATGGCTACTTCCAGCGGGATAATGCGCCATGATCCCAGACTGGTTTCTTAAACATGACAATGAGTTCACTGTACTCAGATGGCCTCCACAGTCACCAGATCTCAATCCAATAGAACATCTTTGGGATGTGGTGAAATCGGAGATTCATCTCAAAGATGTGCAGCTGACAAATCTGCAGCAACTGCGTGATGCTATCATGTCAATATGGATCAAAATCTCTGAGGAATATTTCCAGTACCTTGTTGAATCTCTGCCACAAAGGATTAAGGCAGTTCTGAAGGCAAAAGGAGGTCTAACCCGATACTAGTAAGGTGTACCAAATAAAATGGCCGGTGAGTGTATATATTTAAAAAGCACATTTTGCAGCTGACTTTAATGCAAGATGTTGAAATAATTATGGGAAAGAGAACTTTAAAATAGTCATAAAGTAATTTAAAATAATCAATATTCATCTAAATCAAATAATATACTAATGTTTTACAGTAATTTAGTAGTTTTAGAGGAGCTGCCAGAATAAGAAAAGCAGCAAGTATAAAAAAGAGGAAATTTAAATTTATTATACATTCTGAAGTCTAAGATCTGTGTATCCTTGTGTTCATATCACCTATTTTAACCCATTTGTTTACCTGAAAGAATACATGCTAACTAGACTCCACTATTATCTTGACTCACGGTTTCATGTTGAACATGTCCTTTATGTTTTCAGGATTGGCCACTGCTGGGTTATTGGCCTTCTCCGTATCGTCCGTCCAGGTCATCTGAATCTCCTCTCCAGGGCTCATAGTCGCTGGTGTGGGAGCAGTAGGGGAGGTGGGGCTAGTGGGCGTGGGGGTGGCATTTTTTCCCTGAATGAGCTGAACCTGTCGAGGATGGGAGACACGGACAGACTAAGAGAAAGGTAAAAAGAATGAGAGGGTGGAAAAGGTTGACAAAAAAATAATAATGAGAAATGGTGCTTTTCTGGTTAAAAAAAAAAAGAGGGGGAGAAAATTGCACTGCCAGGGATGTTAACAGAGGACACTGATTTTCTAACAGATAATGACTGCGAGAAGAGAGTGAATGGCTAAAATAGAAAGTGATAAAGAGATGCTATCTTCATGGCTGACAGGTCCATGCTATCATCTAATCGGCCAGAAGGGCACGATTAGCTCAAATGGAGAACAAGCACAAAGTCACTCACTTCAAGGATAATTGTATAGAGAAAAAAGCAGAGAGACAGCAGGTACCTCCTCTTCAGGCTTTTCTTCACCACTTCCTGCCACCGACTCCTCAGCGATACTCCTCTGGGGGTGCAGGTTTGATGGGTTCTTACGCCTAATAGAGCCACGGGACACATCTGTGATGCTCTGAATCTGAAGACGACAACATCAGTGTTGATTTAAAATGAAAGGCTTTACTCACTCCCCCATCCATTACTCATCTAGGGATTTTTAAAATCTTTTGAATCTTTTAAAGTCTTTTGCTTTTTGATTTTTTTAAACTTCCTTTACATTCCAGTAGTGATGCTTAAAGTAAATTATCTAAATGTACTTTTTATGTGTTTTTGTATTCAGAGTAGGGCATAGGACTAAAAAAAATGTTCGTCCATTAAAAATGTTCAGGCCGAACATCACAATAGAAAGACTGAACGGTCTGTCAACAAATGTACATTTGTATATCTGCACCTGTTCATGTGCAGTGTGCCAACCTGGTGCTGACAGACAGATGGCAGACAACCTGAACTTTTTTCTATACAAAACTGGCATCAAGTGGCCTTAAAGAAAAACTTTGAAAGGGTTTCTGTAAAAAAAAAAAAAAAAGAAATTCTGAATCAAAACTGCTCTAAAGCTGAACAATATTGGAGTTGCTTTTGCACGCTAAATGCAACTACAAGATTCAATTGGTCTAAACGATGACACTGTTTTTACAGAATTTCTCTTAGACAGGTATGAAGGTTTTAACATATTTTTTAGTCAATCAAAGCTATTAGGTTATGTTAGGTTACTTTATTTAAACTCTTTATAGGGTTGGAGTGAATGCCTTTTCACTGCCTTTTCACAAATTTGACCTAATTTTCTTTTTTGTGCAACTCTGTTAAAAATTAGATTTTTTGTTTTTACTGTAATACATTCATTATAAAATGTAAAAAAATACTGTATTAGTCAATATAAAGCAATGTTTTCTAGTTATTTTTTTCTAAAATGTTATTAAACAAATAAGGAAATTACCAATGGCAACTATATTTACCTATGGCCCACGGCCCACTATATTTAACACAATTTTTTTAGGTTAGGTTAGGGTTATTTTATTTATACCCAAAAGTAGATTTGGTTTGACTTTGTTTTGATCAAACACTGAAGCAGATCCCGTTTGACTTTGAACATGTTGCGAAGACGCTGTGCTCTGAAGTGTGAGGGAAAGTTTGTATTACTTTCCCTACCCAAAGATGAGGCTGTGAAGAGTCAGTGATTGAACTTTATTTTTGCAAAAATACCTCAGCATTGTAGCCCCAGCCTTGTGCTGTGTTCCCGTTATTTTTCTGATGAGTGCTTCAGCAATCTACATGCTTACAATGGGGTATTTGTCAGCCGTTTGTTAAACGACGGATGAGAAAAGACTATTGATGCATGGGACTTTGTCAGAGCTTGACAGGAACTTTACAGTACACAATTCAAGGATCAGTTCCTTCCTCCTTTGAACAAGTGAAAGTAACTTAAGTGTGATAAAAATGGTTGCCCACTTGTTTTCTCTATCTTGCAAAATGTGTATTTAATTGTGTTTTGTTACTTTGTAACCGCTCCACGCGGCTTGAACTGTGTCTGATTAACTCTTTATATTCTTATACTGCGTCTAAAACCACATTGAAAATGCAACACTTGTCACTTTGTTTACTGATTAAAATGCAATTTTGAGCTTGTGATCCACTGCCGTTTGTCGGTTCTGTGGCCACCGTCAGCTTTTTCTACAGCAGTCAAGTTTCAAAATAGTTCAGCTTTTGTCAGTGTGGTTTAATACTGAATGTGTGTCATTGTTAAGAATAGAGCAACATGCTGGTGTTTAACTGCGTTGCTTTAATGCACACCTGCATTGGGCTCACACATACACTTTGCACTCTGACTACTTCAATATTGTTGATAAGCATTTATCTCTGTCTCACGCTTAATGCAGTTGACCAAGTGCAATTTGGTCATTGGACCAATCAGTGCAGATTAGCATCATGCTATGGATAAATATGCTATGTTGTTGCAGACCCCAAAACCAAAATATGACCTTTTTTAATGCATAATAGGGGCTCTTTACATGTAAAAAACCCAAAAAACATATAAATATATTCTATTCTATTCTATTCTATTCTATTAAAACAATTCTTACATTATTTCTGTAATAGGCAAACGAGCGTCAGTACCTCTCTCTCCCGCTCATTCTTGGTTAGATGCATCTCCTTGAGGATTTGCGATCGCTGCTCCATCATCAGGGTCTTTTCGTAGGTGTAAGCTGAGATGTCATTGTCAAGCTTGAAGCAAATGAAATTACAGGTTGTAACAACCGCTGGCAGGATCTATTGGTGCGTGTTAAAACATTGTCAGCTTGTTTCTCACCATTTCAACCACTTCAACTGCAGCATCAAGACGCAGGTGATAAAGGAACGTCATCAGGTCTTTCTTCATCTGAATGCTGTTGTCATCCATCTGAGCCACAGTGAAGATACGCATCTTGCACTTCCTCCAAACCTACAGAAAAAAAGCACAGTCAGCGGTTTGGATTTCATTTAGACATGAGCTGAATGCAGTTACAGTTTCAATTACTGCCTTAAGTTAAACATTTTACACAAGCAGCAACCTAATACTCAATCACTCAATTCACATAAATAAAGTACATTAGATCAATGAAATTAGCAAATTTGTGGTTCTTCCGATTAGCATGTTGCTTGGCTAATGGCCCTTTGTGAACCTTACTATTTTAGCAATACATTTCAGTATTAAATAAAAAAATAGTGTTAAACTAAATTATTTTATACTATCTTTAATATATATTATATTATATTATATTATATTATATTATATTATATTATATTATATTATATTATATTATATTATATAGTATTGACATATATATTTTTAATATAAATTATTCATACTAAGTATGTTTATTTTCAAAAATAGAAATAATGTATTAAAATGTTTCATAACACACATTACTGTGAACAGATAAAAAATAAAACAATACATATAGGAGCATTATCATTTTGTAATAATCTCACAGAACTCATAACGTCAATTTTAAAAATAGTAATAAAAAATCTTTTATTATACTTTTATTTACGTTTTATGCTATATTTATTCAGCAAGAATGCATTAGATTACTCTCAAATATGTTATTTTCACTGTTTTCATTCATTCATTTTCCTTCGGCTTAGTCTCTTTATTTATCAGGCATCATCACAGCGGAATGAACCACGTTACTGTTTTCAACATGATGAAATCAACAGCATGTGACACTGGAAGAATGGGCAATCATTTAATGAGATCAATATCAACTCAAATATAAAAATTTACTCAGCATTTACTTAAACTCTTAACCTTTATAAATGGCACTCTTTTGTTTAACAAAAAACAAACATATATATTTCTAAAAGATATAACAAGATATTTCTGGAGAATATTTGAAAACATTTTTAAAACACTTTTTAAGAAGTCTACATGATGACATCAAAAAATGTGGCGTTTTTTCAGTTATTTGCCAGAGTTTGAGAACTAGAACATTCATTAATATTGAACAAGTGGATCAATGCTTGGAGTATGGATGGAAATTATGCATCACATTTAATGAAAGTAATAGACAAATAGCAGTTTAAAATCTGACGGGAAAATAAATCAGTCAGTGGCTACAGTGCATTGCGATACCTGTAATACTTCATTGGCTGTTTCAAATGTCATTAGCTGATCTGCAAAAGCTCATATTGTTAATTACAACTTTGACATAGTTAATCAGTATGAAACAAACATGTTAAATAATTCAGTCTACTGGTCAAAAACTCTGTGTTTTACTTTGTGTTTTGAAGAGTGCAATTTCAAAAGGCATGATTTATGGAAACTAGAAATTTTAGTAGTTTTCAGAAATTGTGATTTTACATTGACCATTGAAGATTTTAACTGCAAAAATGTTGACAAAAATGCGGCACTAAGACGACACTATTTTCCAACTCATTATCTGCATTCAATGGTTTTTACAGTCATTAAAGAGAAAGTCTTAAAGACAGGACTTTCAGGACTGTACAAAATGTATACTGAAATCAAAGAGAAACGCATGGCTTATGAATAAAATTACACAAAGTAGATTTTTTATGAATACCTCCTCATGTACAATAGAAGTAAATGAGTTGGCAGAGAAGCTGACTTAAACTTGCTCTGAGAAATGCTGTTGCTATCAAAGATTGTTTACTTCACTAAATCAGTTTAATGGTGAAGGGATTGATTCAATATGCCCATTGATAGAAGGTTTTCAAAAAATAAAATAAATACATAAAAAATGTAATGCTCCCTTGTAAAAGTATTTTTTGTAGTATTTTCAAAATACAAAATACAAGATTTAATTTGATATATTTGTGGCTGCTGTATTTTAAAGTTTATTTTGATACACTTAAAATTGAGGTATTTAGTATTTCATTGTAATATATATATATATATATATATATATATATATATATATATATATATATATATATATATATATATATATATATATATATATATATATATATATATATATATATATATATATATATATATATATATATATATATATATATATATATATATATATATATATATATATATATATATATATATATATATATATATATATATATATATATATATATATATATATATGTAGTATTTTTATATGAATATAATTTTTATATTTTTATATATACTATATGAAGTATTTTTGCCCATCCCTGGGAACAACTAATATTATGTAGGTTGTTTTTAGAAATATTTTTAGTAAATCTTGCTTTGGAGATTTGAGTAAATGATAACAACTTAAATTTTTTACCCTTAAAAGGTTTATTGGCCATTAAAAATATATCTTAATAAATAGAAAAAATAATTAAACTTTTTTTAATATAAAATGTTAACGTTTAATATACATTTACTTAACTTTGAATGTGTAATAATAACAACGGAACAAATTTGTTTTTCCATAAAAAAAGATAAAAAAAAAAACAGATCAATGGTTTCTGTCCAGTAGCAAGTTACAGTTATTTAAGGTCATTAATAAAACATTTCTGCCAAAAAAGTTTTGATCACTTTACAAAATGAATGTATTTTTAGGAATGTTCACACACCTTATGCTGGCGGAGAAGAAAGGGAAGGAGCATGAGCATGCCTCCATCGTGGACAATCCACCACACGTCAATGTGGCCCTCGGTGAAACGCTCTCCATTTGATGGATATGCAGAAATGTTCTTCGGGACCAGTAAGGCCATGTGACCTGCTGTGGTCTCCCTAACAACCTCTGTGGAAAGAAAAAAAGAAAACATGCTAATATTATCAAATGCAATGAAGGATTGGGGAGCATAAGCTAACTGTGATTGAGATTCAATTTAAAAATTCAGGCTTGCCACGCTTGTTTGTAGGACTATACAATTTGAACATTTTATCGAATTGAATTGTATCAATCAATCAATCAATCAATCAATCAATCAATCAATCAATCAATCAATCAATCAATCAATCAATCAATCAATCAATCAATGCTATTATTATACTATTAATAAAAAAAAACAAAATAATACAAAATATTAAATCAATACAAAATATAAATGTAAAGAAAAAAGTATTTAAAGGTTCCATAGAGAGAAATTATGAATATGAAAAGAGCTGAATAATAAGAATTCAGTCCATAGAAATGACATATTGTGGGCAGCAAACACCATTGTTTCCTTGTTCTCATGTAAATCTGATGAGTTTAAAATACTGATGAAAAACAGGTCAATCAGTGCAAGTCACCAACTGTTATGTTGTACATTGGAGTATTACTATGCAAAATATTGCCTTATTTTTAAATTAATTAAATCCCAAAGGGACTCTTATAATGAAAACAGGAGAGGCAAGAAGAGTAACATGCAGCGATGTGTTTCGTCTCTTACAGCTGGTTAAAATAAAAAGAGCAGGATATACAGATTACAAATTTATTTAGTGCAACCCTGAAGATGCATAATCTACATTTAAAAGTATCTTATGTTAGTTTAACATGTACATTGTAGAATTTGCCCCTGGCAAATTGCCCCTGGCATTGTGGTACCCCTTGGTTAACACACATTTCCAATCAGCTAATCTCATAGCAGCAACTCAATGCATTTAGTGCCACTCCTTTCAGCTAAGAACGGGGAACAGGAGGCTACAATTTGCACAGGCTCACTAAAATTGGACAATAGAATATTAGAAAAATGTTGCCTGGTGGTCTGATGAGTCTTCAGGCTGGTTCAGGCTGGTGGTGGTGTTGTAGTGGTGTGAGGAAAATTGTCTTGGCATACTTTGGGCCCGTTAGTAGCATTTAAGCATCATGTCAATGCCACAGCCAACCTGAGTATTGTTGCTGACCATATCCATCCCTTTATGACCATGTCATAAACCACAAATCATTTCAGATTGATTTCACACACATGAAAATGAGTGCACTGTACTTAAATGGCCTACACATACACCAGAACTCAATCCAATAAAGCACCTTTGGGATGTGGTGAAATGGAAGATCGGCATTATGGATGTGCAGCTGACAAATCTGCAGCAACTACGTGTTGCTATCATGTCAATATGGACAAATCTCTGAGGAATATTTCCAGTACCTTGTTAAATCTATGCCACGATGGATTAAGGCAGTTCTATAGCCAAAATGTGGTCCAACCCACTAGGAAGGTGTACCTAATAAAGTGGCCGGTGAGTGTACAGTATGTGTGTAATGAGGCAACAAACACATTAACTATTAAATGTAATTGTTAAAGGCAGTTGTGCCCAAACTCGCTCCTGCAGGGCTGCTGTCCGGCATAGTTTAGCTCAAACTTGCTTCAACACACCTACTAAAATTTTCAAGTATACCTAGAATGAGCTTGATTAGTTCAAGTGTGTTTAATTGCGGTTGAAACTAAAATATGTAGGGCACTGGCCCTCCAGGATGGAGTTTTGACACCCCCAGTTAAATGCATGTTTATGGATCATATCATATCACTTAGCTCTTACTGTGATTGCTCTTGAGCAAAAAGACCCCAACAAATTTCAAAACACATCTGTCTTTTCATATATTGTAAAGCTTTAAAACTGTTGAGTATTAAAAATAAATAATTTTACAAAATAATAAAACTAAAAACTCTGAATACATCTCCATCTGTCCATTTTGTTGCGCATTATTATAATTTAGTCTATATTTTATTCATATTATTCAACTCAGGATAAGTAATTGAGGAACAGACTTTTGAAATGATTGACATTTGACAAGCATTCCACTCAGTTTGTTCAAATATTTATTGACTATTTATTGACTATTTATTGACAAATGAGAGTAATTTAGGAGTAATTCCTGGTTTTAAATGAGCATATTAAAAAGTTTCTGGAGATTTTACCAAAAATTCACATACCTACTAAGTAAATATCAGAGAACAGTTTAACACATTTAATCAATGCACTATATGGTACCTTTAAGAAAGGAAAACAATACAATTGTTTTCTGGCTTGGAACATCTTGAGAGTGAGTAAATGGTAAGTACAAAAACATGTTTGGGGTAAACTATCCCTTTAAAGCTATTGTTAATAATTGTTTTTTTTTATATTCATAAAAAGTATTATGGAATAAATACATTCATTTACCAAGAAAACTAACTTGGTAACTAACTAAAAACTTCAACAGACAAAAGTAGATAGGTTTGGAACAAGCTAAAGATGAATATAAATGGTGACACAATAAAAATTTTAGGGGTTAACTGTTCCTTTTATATATTTATATATGATGATATCTTTGTAGCCTTTGATTCCTTATCAGGAATGTCATGAAAGAAAATGTAAAAAGTCATAAAGCAGATACCAAAGTCTATGTCACCATATGTAGTGCAGTGTAAATTGTTGTCTTACCAATGAAGTTCCTGCAACGGTGGTGCTCCTCAGCCTGTTTCCAGTTCTTGGGAAAGCTGACCAGAACAGTATTGTGGCGTAGCCCACCCAGACCACCAGCTTGAATTAGGTGTGAGGTGGCATCCCGCAGGTTAGAAGAGATCACCACTTGACTGAATCCCTTCACCTTCTCAACCTCCATCAGCTTCCTTAGGGACTGAAAAATATGGAGGTCAAAGAGGTTATTAGTTTAATTTTAATGATGGACTATTGCCTCATGTTAAAGTTTGGGTGCACAGATTAAATTCTGCGTGCGTACCTGATCTGCTTTCTGAGTCTTTGGCTGGTTGTTTAAGTAGGTGCCTTCTATACACGCTCCTACAATGGTCAAACCTTTGCCTGCTTTCAGCTGACTGGTCAGGGACAGCAGTCGAGGCTGCTCCACGTTCTGCTCTCCATCCAAAGTTGTGAGCACCAAAATCTGGGGCCTGCAAGATAAGAAATATTTCAAACATGTAAAATACATACTCAGTATTTTGGATGACAATATTTGGATGATTTTATGAGAACAGTGCATTACTGATATGCCACTGACCTCCAGTTTTTAGTGTGAGGAGGACCTTCCTCCAACCTCATCAGAGCAAAACGAGCAGCGCTCAAAGAGATACCACGGATTCCATCACCCCATTCTTTCTCTGCTCTACAAGGTGAGAACACACAAGCATCCAATTGAAGTCTTTTTCAGTTTTTTAAAACTTACAGTTCTTACTCCCAGGGCCATTTATATTGAAGTTGATATTTAGCTGCACCATGTTAGTGTTTTGTGACATCAAATTTTTGCGAGATCGCTCATAAGTCTAATGCTCAAACTTCAACCTGGAGGACCAGGACATACACACATACCCTACGGACAATTTCGCTTACCTATAATTCATCTATAGCGCATGTATTTGGATTGTGGGGGAAACTGGAGCAACAGGAGGAAACCCATGCAAACATGAGGAGAACACTCTTGCTGTGAGGAGACAGTGCCATCCATTTAACCTGAATTTTGCATGGCAGTTTATTGTAATAAGTAATTATATACTACATCGTGAGAACATACAACCATAATCAGTGTAGTCCTTTTCAAATGGAGGTGGGACTTTGTCATAGGAATTAAATGTTGCATTGCAGTTTATTGATTGATTGGTATAAATATTTAGGGTGTACTCACACAAGGCACAGTAGTCTTGAACTGTGCTCAGTCGCGATTTTCCCACATCTTGCACTCACACTTTATTTTACCTCCCAAGCCTAATCACACTTACAACACTGATGATGCGACTGTTCAGGTTAACAGGAAGAGAAGTGCTCTATCTCAGTACATTGGCAATTGCTTTAAATGTATTGTTTTGAATTGTTTTAAGTAGTTTGTGATGTGGTGACATACTGTGAAATCTTTTGATGAACAGATCTAAACTTTTGATGTTCTTTAAGTTTTAAACTCATCAAAGTCATCGTGCAGCACGTATTTGAAGGTTTCCGAAAGGTGGCAGCTGCTGTGCAGCAAGGGGTTTGTATCTTTAATAAACTATAACAGCTCGCTTTCATTGGAAAATAAGAATAAATAATAAATCCACATCATCCCTTAAAAGTGATGTCAGGTCTTCAGTTTTGCGTTCAGGCATGCTTTGCACTCAAAATACAAGCGTACCATGGCTAAGCACAATTGAACTGCGCTCTGGCACACGTCTTCCAACCGGGACAAGGCTGGCCAATCTAACTGCGACTGGGCCTGATTCGGAGCACTCACACTTGTCAAACGAACCGGGAAACACTCCCGGTTCTTATAGCCTTGTGTGAGTACACTATCAATAAAGAAACTTTTGATAAACTTTCTTAATTTGAATTAATGGTTTGATTTCATTGGTTTTAAAACAGCGTTTTAGAATGAAAACGATCATCATCCACACAAGCGTTTCACCCAGCGTTTCTGAACAGCTCTGCGTCTACATCACAATGCTGAAAATGCACATCACGTGACCACACACACACACACACACACACACACACACACACACACTCTGGCAAAAAACAAACAAAACAAAAAGACAATAATGCCTTTAGAGTAAGATTGATCTAGGTTTTGTGGTTTTTCATTTTTGTTCTCTGTTGCTTTCCCTGGAGGCTCATTTAGATTTGCTTACCCGCAGAATTCAATGTATTTGTAGATGCAGCCGGCGATTACCATGGCAACAATAGCATAGTACCAGGAGCACAGGAACATCAGGGTAAGACACAAGCTCATGCCCAAGAGTGACAAAGCCCTGGGGAAAGATCACAAACACTCATTTGACCAGTTAGCAATTGCTCACATGACTGTGCTGTCAGATATGTTTATACAATCACAATAATTAACCACCACAGGTTGATATATATATATATATATATATATATATATATATATATATATATATATATATATATATATATATATATATATATATATATATATATATATATATATATATATATATATATATATATATCATAAGTCTCCTTTATTTGCAGTGATGTCTTTAAGCCTTATTTTACTGTTAAAGGTATAACACAAGTCTAAACCAGGGATCACAAATCTCAGTCCTAGAAGGTTGGTGTCCCTGCAAAGTTTAATTCCAACTTGCCTCATCACACAAGTGTGTGGAGGTTTCAAAAATACGTACCTAATAAGAGCTAAAGTTTTAACCCAAACCTCTTAACATTTTGTAAACAAACATGCTATCTGTTAATGACACAAACCTAAGGGAGCATGTATGTGTTTGTTTGTGTATTGATGTACCAATGGTAAAACTTAAAGCGTGGTCTCCAGTTTGGGGTTCTGAGGAGAGTTTGCAGTGCACAGGCCAGGTTTACAAACATGTAACACATGAGAAAGAACCTGTGGAGGGAAAAAAAAAGTGTCAACATTATGAGCTTAGAACCTCAAAACAAAAACTCAGATGAAATCATATTTCAGTCAGTGTCCCTGGAACTGCACACTGCACAACTCCAATTTCAAAAAAGTTTAGACATTTTGTAAATGTAAAGTGCAATCAAATGAAGAATATTTTACTATTTTATTATCTTAAAGACCTTTATTTAATTTACAGAAGTACAAAAAAAATTTTTTTTTTCATTGACCAAATCAGTTGTATTCTGTAAATACACTCAAAAAAAGTTGGGCATGTTTATCACAGTGTCATATCAACATTCCTTTTAATAATACAACAAATCAATTTACTTATGATGTTTTTTTGTCTTTGGACGGTGGAAGAAAACCAGGGGAACCTGGGGAAAACCCACGCAAGCATGGGGAGAACATGCAAACTCCGCACAGAAACGCTGACTGGCCCGGAGAGGGGTCGAACCAATGGCATTCTTGCTGTGAGGCAACAGTGCTAACCACTGGTTTGCCGTGCTGCCCTATCAGGAGAAGGGAAGGAGTAAAAAAGAGGATTCTTCAAGACGAGGATGACTGAAGTGGAAAACCTCTTGGTTACGCATGTACAGTAATCCTAGTTCATTGAAGCTCATGGTTAAGGGTTGTGGTCACAGAGAACACCTGTTTTCTGCTTCAGTAAATGAGGGTTACATGAATAACCGAGATGTTCCCTTTCAGTAGATTAAGGGTCCCTATGGAAAGTGTCACAACCATTAAACCAGTTATGCATTTAAAGCGAAGATGTCAAGCATGCAGCATGACCATACAAGCACCTCCAAAGGTGTAACCATTCAAGGTCCCCTTGGCCCAAAGAACAAAATTTGAGAATTGAATACTAAAGAGAAAGTCATAACAAGTTTACCTAGTTAAGTTCTAAGGTTAGGGACTTCATGATAAATATGGCAGCACATTGGGAATTTGTTCCAGTCCTGAAGTAGAAACACTGCAGAGACCACAGTCTATATGAAACTAGAGATGCTGTGGCAAGAAATGCATAGGACTGATACTATCCATCAAGCACCACATATGAACCAAGGTGTCGATCATACTGAATGAGCTTTTTAGTTCTCAAAACAGTAGGTGTACTTCACTGCCTTTTTGTTGCCTTTAAAAAAAAAAGAGCATTTTATGTTTGGTTAGGTTTCCACTGTATCAACATCTTGATGTTGGAACGCATGAGGCAGAGTCTGCGCAGAGTTTACTGTTTATTCCAGGCGCACAGAGCACTTCCTTAAAAGTTTGAGACACAGCATGAATTACAGTGTGATTGCTGCATAAATTTGCAAAGAATTCTGTCAGGGGTGTAGTGGTCAGGGGTTTAAGGGTTTGAATATGAACAAATGCCTTTATTAAAGTTGCCAGCTTGGAAGCTGGGGACTGAAGCCATATATTTACACTATTGGCTACTTGTGTGATGACATCACTGCATTTGAAATCTCTCTGAAAGTGCTCAAGGGAGCAATTGAAAGCCTCGTCAATCAGCTAATCTATCAGCATATTGATTGTGCATATATCTGCACAGTTCAGCTGATAGATGTGTCTTTAATATGCCCCTGTGTCTGTGTAAGAGCAGGGTGAAGCCAGTTCATTGATGACCATCCTGGCCAATCACAGGCATTTCTGTTGAGCTCTTGACCACAACAGGTATTCAGCTCATGACTTACTTTATATTGGCTGCAGCTTGTCACTACATCTGACCTCATGTGGGGTTGAGTCAGCCGACTTTTGCTGAATATTTAGCATGCTACAGTATATATCGTTTTTTCATCTGTGAGGTGTTGGCCACAAATCAGCAATCCTCTTTCATGTGTCATTCAAGAGTTCACACAAAAAATGCTGAGTGCCAAGCACCCACAGTTTTCCCCGATCACAGCCTGATCTGTTGTTGAGCTGCTTAACTTGCAAATCGGACTCAAATAAAAAAATAGTGCGAACTTGACATTAGGTAAAGTTCAACATTATACATACGTACAGTTAAACATATGAAGATGGCGGCACCCTGTTCAGATGGGGCTGCACTGGCTCATAACAGTTTTGATAGATTTGACATCTTTCACCTAGTACACGGACTAGTATACAGACTAAAACAGACAACACCCTCGGTAGGCTTAGTGTAGGATTGCGATCAGCTACTTGATTTACGATAATCCAGTGATGGCTTAACTCGCAGATCCCTGATGTGTCTGTTAGCATTGAGGAGAAAACTACAATCTGTGCTGAAAGGAGCTGCGCTCTAAGCGGCAAAGTCAGAGGAGGACTTTGTGCATTTTTTAATAATAATGATTGGAGTAACAAAGCTATGATGGTCTCAAGCTAGTGCTCTCCGGATATTGAGTTGCTGACTGTAAAATGCAGACCATCCAACTTATCCAGGGAGCATACTGCAATCATAATCACCAATGTACAGTATATGTGCCTCCAAGCGCTAACACAAATGAGGCTGTGAGTGTTCTGTACCGGTATATGAACAAGCTGCAATATGCTCATACTGAGGACATACTGATGTTGCTGGGGATTTTAACAAGGCTAACATGAAATTAGTTCTCCCACACTTTCATCAGCATGTGAACTTTTCCAACAGGGGTGAAACACACTACATAAATTCTACTCCAACGTCAAGAATATGTGCAAAGCAGCCCCTCGCCTCCATCTCGGCTCTTTAGACCTTCTATCTGTGATGCTAATTCCTGCATTCAAGGCCCTGTTGAAAATCAGTAATTTAGGCAGATGAGACAGTGGACTGTGGACACTATGAAGGCTGTCATCACAAGCAAAAATTGGCTATTTACTCCAATCAATTGATATGCCAATGCAGGTACACTGCATCTTAGCCTGTATTAGAGATATCTATTGTCACAACAGCATGTCTGGGCACTTGCTTTATGGGCACTCCAGCCCATAGAAAAGCAAGGTCTGACCAGAGGTAGAATGTACAGTGACACAAGAGTAACGTGCAGTTGATGTAAGCCGCAGTGCTATATCTTTCCCAGGACTTGGTCGTGCAGCCAATTCTGAAGTGGTTTCCTATGTAGCAATATGAGAAGCATGATTTCAGCTGCAGAAGCAATATGCCCCAGTTGGACTGCTTTTTCCCTCCTGAATCATTTCAGACAGGAGAGCACTGTCTTGGCACATTATGTGGAGATGAATTTCTGCAGAGGAACTGGTGAAAGTTGGCTGCAGAGCTACGGGTGAGGAAGCAGCATGTTGCTCACCAACTGTGTTACACCCAGAGGTTAAACATATCACGTAGGACCTTGCAGGTTTACAAGAAGGATGTGTGGACATATACAACCCAATTTTGGCCCCCATGTAACATGTCGACCTTGCTGTCTAGTTGCATAGGCACAGTTATTTTTCTTCAATTCATCTGTATATCAATAGCGCTTTTACAACGTAGATTGTGTTAAAGCAGACTAACATACTGTAGAAGTTCTAGTAAATTGCAATTAAAACTGTATCAGTCCAGTTTTCAGAGTTAAAGTTCAGTTTAGTTAAGTTCAGTGTGGTATAATTGTCATTTCTGAAAGTCCAAACACTAAAGAGCAAATCCATCGATGTGTAGTTCCACAAATGTCAGATCAAGCAAGCCAGTGGCAACAGTGGTGACAATCAAAACTTCACCATTTGAAGAAAAGTGAAAGAAAAAAAACGTTGAGAGGAACCAGGCTCAGTTGAACACTCTGGCCAAACTTTCTGTGCAGAGCTGCAGTCTATAGGCACCGGAGACTGAAGAAATGCTAGACGTCCATCATGGAGAAACTGCTAGGGTGTGTGAGTCGGTCACCTGCGAAATGCAGGCTGGCACTTCTGAATCAATTCGGATACTCGTCTGTCATTGGGTCTTTTAGGAATCAGTTTCATGCTCTCCACTCCTCCATGACACAATCCTCCACAGCTTCTGCTCAGGATATGCCTGGTCTATGATTATGGAGACCTCGGGTACACCCAAGGGGTGAATCACAGGTGAGGCCCCAATGGAGCATGACAGCTCACCATCCATTGCAGTGATAAATCTGTTTCTTTGAGCCATTAAATAAGTGTGAGGGCACACTGTGTGGTGGGCCAGTTCTCTTATCCGAAGCTTGGACGGGATTCACTGTGAAGGAGTGGGAGGTCCACATGGACTAACCTGGCAAATCTACTCCCACTGTAAACCTTTGTTAAGACTGTATTCAGTGACAAACGTTTTCAGAAATACTCCTGAGCCCATGTGTCTATATTTAACACCAAAGCATAACACCTGTATATAGTGCAAAGTGTTGGATAAAAGAGATTTTGCTGGATTTCCTGAATCTTTTCACATGTTTATATATTATATTTGGTGAAAGATCTAAATCTATTATTTCATATAAAAGAAAGAAATGTATCTAAAGTAATATAGAAAGAATTTTTGATAATTCTGTAATTACTTTTGGTACAAAATGATAGACCATTAAACATCTTTGCTTGATTTCAATGCACTGTGTTTGGTGTTTTATTCATTCATTCATTTTCTTGTCAGCTTCGTCCCTTTATCAATCCAGGGTCGCCACAGCGGAATGAACCGCCAACTTATCCAGCAAGTTTTTACGCAGCGGATGCCCTTCCAGCCGCAACCCATCTCTGGGAAACATCCACACACACATTCACACACAAACTTATACACTATGGACAATTAAGGCCTACCCAATTCACCTGTACCACATGTCTTTGGACTGTGGGGGAAACCGGAGCACCCGGAGGAAACCCACACGAAGGGAGAACATACAAACTCCACACAGAAACGCCAACTGAGCCGAGGTTCGAACCAGCGACCCAGCGACCTTCTTGCTGTGAGGCGACAGCACTACCTACAGCACCACTGCCTCGCCGGTGTTTATTGATCTTGATTAATTATAATGAACTTCAGCACGCTTCATGAATGGGCAGCTGCGCACAAAGACCACTGGACAATTTCAGAGTTTTTGTTAAATAATAATAAAAAAGTTTGTGTTTATCAAAAAAAATTCTATCATTTATATCTTGAATATTAATGAATTGAATATATGTGGAAAATACAATGCCAGAGCAAAACCAAAAAGCACCACGCATGGAGAAGTGTTCACTTTTTTAACACTGTCCATTTGAAAACCTTGGCACTACAGATAATAAAGATGAATGTACTGTTTAGGGAATACAAAGTGCTGAATGAATGGTATTTCTTTGTGCTATGCAAGTACCAAAAAAAAAAAAAGTTTAGGAATTATTGAAGAACAGGTTTAGAAAAGAACCTATTCAGCACAGTAAATAAGTTTTATTACAGCAATAGTGAGTTTAAACAGTTTATGGCTGTTTCTCTGGGAATCATAAAGAATGAGGTGTGCTATGTGCTTTTGGGAAGACTTGCTTACATGGACAGAATAGGTGCGACTGCATCCAGGGAGGCAATGAGGATGCCACTTTCACAGATGCAGGCTGTCAGAAGGAGAGCCCATGTAGGTTCACCGTTAGCTTTGCCATGACCAAACACCTGTAAAACAAAGATGTACAGCTTAGTACAATGGAGCATCAAAGCATCAACAGAGAGATAATCAGAGAGGCAAAAATATACATGTACCCTGAGGAAAGGAATGATGCCATCTCGGGCAATAGCTTGAAGGAGGCGGGGTGCTCCTGTCAAACTTTGAAGCCCGGCCCCACAGGTGGAGAAGAAGGAGCCAAACACAATGACCCAGGGTGAGGGCCATGCCAGCGTGCCAATAACCAGGTTACCACTGACACCTTCTCCAAATCTATGTGTTTAGAAGAGTATTGTTACTAATTATCTCTCTGGGATAATTGATTGTGATCAATCAAACACAACATTCCAATGTATATTGATACCAGAAAACAACTAATTAAACTAAAAATACAGGCTCAGCTGGATACTACGAATCAACTTGACCATAAGTTATTATATGTTCACACATATCCTAATAAAAATGATGACAAATTGAATTTTTTTTTTCTAAAAATACAGTAACACTACGTAGGACTACATACTCACTTGTCCCTCAAAACAACTCCATCCACACAAGCTCCAAACAGAATTACACTAGACATGTCTGAGGGAGCAAACGCTTAGGAGAATAACACAAAACATCAAGAAGTCATTCACATTTCTTCAGCTATTGTTCCACACACTGTAAAATCCAACCGTCAACTTTATCAAATAAAATGAGAATAGTTAACTAAAAATTTACTGAAAGGTATTCTACTCCTTTAAAAACAGTTTTGAACTCAGTTTTGAAGGTAAGGAATTAATTAACAACTCATTACTTTACCTTAAATGGAGTAAGTTCATAGTACTCATATAGATTTTTTTTTTTTTTACTCAAATGGTTTGTAGCAATCGGTTTCCTAAGATGGTTTGAGTTGCCTTAACTTAGTGGGTTTTACAGTACTCAGCTGGTTTGAGTTCTCTTCATTTATTGGGTTTTACTGCGCTCAAATTGCTTTGTTGACTCAAATGGATAAAGTTCACAATACTCATTACGATTAGTTTTTGAACTTAAATAGGTTGTTGCAATCGGTTTCTTCAAATGGTTTGAGTTATCTTAATTTTTTGGGTTTTAAATAGTCATCTTCTCATTTTATCAGTTTATATATATAATTAGACGGTATTTGTACATTCCATTAGCAGTTTTGCACTGAGTGGAAGTTAATGGTAATTTATTAAAGCAGTTTATTTCATATTTATAAGTTATTTATAAGTAAAGGATACAGATGATGGAGGTGGTTGTGATGGCCAAGATGGTACCAACAGGGATGGACTTCTGAGCATCCTGCAGGTCACCAGAACGGTTGGAACCTGCCATGATACCTATGGCACACATTAAATATTTTGGGTTACATCCTGTTTTAAGGCAGTAAATAATTAAGTGAATAAAACAGTTAAGAAACACATTTATATGAGTAAATACTGTATCTTTTTAATGTATACTACAAAAAAAAAATTTGGTTAGATCTAAACTTTTTATGGATAATTGTTTTTTCAATAGTGTTTTAAATAATCCATAAAATGTTTAGATCTAACCAAACCAAACTTTTACTGTAACCAAACAGTTTCTGTAATTTAATAACTTATCATAACAAATTTCATTAAATTTTTTCATTCACTAACTCACTTTTCTTTGGCCTATTCTCTTCTTATCAAGGGTCGCCATAACATTGAACCACCAATTTCGTTGAAATATTATTAATTATCATTATACTGACCTGTGACAGAGGGGAAGTAGATTCCAACCAGCAGGGTGAAGAAACTGGTGATATCAGCCAACACATATCGGTTACTGTTGGTTACTGGGAGTTCAGGGTCCTGTACTGCCTGTAGACCTCTCTTTTCTAAGACAGAATTTTTCTCCATATAGCCACTGAAAAGGTTTTCTGAAGACAAAATGATTTAGAAAATACAATAAGTTTTTTTTTTTTTTTTACATTAGAGCTGGTCATCAAGTTAATTTAATTTTAATGATGGTTAAGTTCAGAGTGTATTTAATATAAAAAATACTGGTAAAATAAAATTCAGACTGAAAAATATTGTTGTCAATTTGTAGATTTTTTATTGTACAAAACGTATGTATAAAAGATCAAAAATATTGTTAAAAAGTATTAATTCAGTGATATTGTGAAATATTGTTACAGTTTAAAATACTTTTTAAATAAGTTTTAAAAGCTTAAGAGCATCTATATTACCCCTATTTACTATAATGTTGTCACCTTAGAATTATAAGGTTCTATCTGACATTTTTCTCAAAATTGAGTTATTGACATATTCTTATTGAATGAAAGCTTATTTACATTATGGAATGTTTTTTACATTGTTTACATTTAAGGACTTTTTATTTAAAAAAACGATCGTTATACACACTGTTTGCTATATGGAATGCAAAAACTTTGAGATCATTATCTCAAAATCATTCAGAAGGGGTTTTAGGGGTTGTGTTGCTTCTCATGAAAATTAGTTTAGATTTCCCTCCCAATTTAATGAGGGGTGGAGCTAAGAGCTCCCTTGCTTTGTGTATGGCAACAGACAAGCAGACTGAAAGAAGCAACATGGGTGAGAGGACCAGCATTCAGCCATACATGTACGACTCAGACACAGACCAAGCAGAGACTACTGTTGAGGATCAATATTCCTAATGTGCCACAATGTGTCAGAGTGGTAGTTACAAAATCATTTGTGTCTTTGTATAGTTTTACAGCAGCTAACGATGCATGCGTCATCCATTTAGGGATGTAATGAGTAACCGGCTTTACTATTAACTGCGCTATAATTCGTCACTGTTAATTAATTGTAAAGGCTTCTCAACAACGCGCTCACACTTTCCAGCCACACATAGTTGAGATGACTGGGAGCTTCTGTGACCGCGGGAAATGCAAATGGCTGAAGTTTAAGGTAGACACAATGAAAAGTACACAGGTTTGCAAACCCACCTAAAGTTACAAACAATGGCGCTGATGGGATCGATCATGTGGTAAATGTTGATCCGCCAGCTGAGATCAATTGAACTAGATGTAAAATCTCTGTTGCTCATTTATAGGAATGCAATGAAGGCTCTTGTGTTGAGCCTAATGAGCCTTACATTAAAAAATAGAACAAGGGTGTGTGATGTCGCTTTGACTCACACGCTGAAAATGCCAGATGTGAAACAACAAATTGAGGATATGGTTATGCGCGCCTGTCAATCAATATTGGTGGCCGGGGGACAGCACTCCTACGTCAAGTTTGGTCGGTCTCAAAACCGCTCTAATTGGTCCACCGGTTTTATGTCGTTAAATTTAAAAAAGAACTGGGTGTGTTTATATCACTCCAATATGACAGTCTATACACTATATCTACACATGTCTGTCCAAACACCTTGAAAAGTAGATTTTTCAGCATCAAGAAAAGCTGTTCTTTGCAGCTTTTATTCATCATAAATCATCATGCATTATGGTTTTCACAACATTAATAATAGCAGATGGTTCAAACCAGCATATTAGAAAGATTTCTAAAAAGTACAAAAGATATTTTAAAGAGTGCTGGTTGATTGATCAAATTGACTTCCATAGTAGGAAAAACATACTATGGAAGTCAATGGGTACCATTGTAACGTGAAGTGGACGCTGCAGGATCCTGCTTTATTAGCAGAATGATCAGGCAAGCAACAGTCAACACAGAAGCAAACAAATGTATACAGGCAATCTAAAGTCATAGTCAAATGAAAAGGCAGATGGTCAAAAGGCAGGCAGCAGACAGGAATAAACAAACAAAAATTGGGGGTCTAAAACACAGCAGGACAAAACAAGGGAAAATGCGTTGTAAATGTTCACTAAACAGTTTACAAGACTCTGCAACAATGTGTTTGTGCTGGTTTTATAGTCCATGTAATCGCATCATGAGCGACTTCAGCTAAGACTGTGTGTGTGTGTGTGTGTGTGTGTGTGTGTGTGTGTGTGTGTGTTTGTGTGTGTGTTTGTGTGTTTTATCAACGGAACTAGGAGCTTGTGTGTGTAAGCGGTGCATGACTGGATCTTTTTGTCAATGAAATGGCAGATTTGTAGCCCTTTAGCGATCTGCATACGCTAGATCCCTGGTGATCATAACAACCATCAACCAGCATTCATTAAAATATATTCTTTTGTGTTTTGAACAAGTGAAGGATGACCAAATGTTAACAGATATAAAATTTACCTGAGAACTATCCTTTACATTTTTTACTAAAATTTTTAGTCACATTTTTTTCCAGAAATCATTCTAGTTTGCTGGTTTGAAACATTTGCTATTATCAATGTTGTGGAAACCAAGAAGCATGGTGATTTATGATGAATAATAGCTCCAAAAAACATTTCTTTAAAACATATATTACATTGTTAATCATTTGAAATAGTAAAACATCAAATTAACAATGTCTATAGACTTTCTAACCTGCCAGGATGCCACTGGTGACTCCAGGGATTCCCTGGATCTGACTGATATTGTTGTTAACAAAGTACTCATCACAGGTGGCGTTCAGGAACTCAGAGTCACAGAAGGATCTCCAAAGCTTGGTAGTGATGGTGGCATTCCCCCGCTCTATGGTCTTGGCACAAATGTCATACGCCTTTGACACAAGAGTTCGGTTCCCAAGCACACACACCCTAAATAGGATAAAGTCTTATGGTCACTTACATTCAGTACAGGAAAATATGTAACAGATTAGTCACTTGGAGAACACTTATTCGCATTAACTTTTGCTTTAATTTGTTGTTACTGCTTATTAATAATCATTAAGACATTTGTTGAGGTGGTTATGATTAGTAAGGGATATGATTAAAAACAAAATTCAAATTGTGCCATTGATCTCTCACTCCACAACTTGTTTCAGAACATTTAAGTTTCTTTCTTCTGTTGAAAACAATGTATATCATTAAAAATAGCTGAAAACAGACACTGACTTAGAATATTTTTCAAAATACTTTTTTTTTTTCTGTGCAACTAGAAATACAAAGAAACTTCCAAAGATCTGGAACCATTTCAGGGTCAGAAAACAATAAATGCACCTTTGCCTGAGAGCTACAACTTTTCAGAATATAGTCAAACAGAGTAATTTAATATTAAAATGTACTAAAGTACCAAATAAACAGCCAAAATGCTGGTAAAATAAGCAATTAGTTAAACGTAAGTACACTGTACTTACAGCAAAAATATTGCACCAACACAAATCGATTAAAAGTTAAATTAACAAATGAAAGTGGATTGAACATAACATAAATATGTTACACCCAAAAATCATAAGAATGGTGTGGTTTCAGCTGTTTTTTAAATAAGTGGTTTAAAAAAAAGAAAAATTATATATATATAAACCCCCTTTGAATTTTTTCTTTTTAAAATATTTACCAAAAGCAAGGAACTTACCAAATTAAGCCTTAAAATATTATTTACTGTCATCATGGTAAAGATAAAATAAATCAGTAATTAGAAATGAGTTATTAAAACTATTATGTATATATTATATTAAATTTATATAGATTGTATAAGTCTACTTACGGAAAGTCAGGTGGATCAAAAGAAGTCTTGATGACCCCCGCGTAGATAGCCAGGATGGAGAGAATGACGCAGGCGAGGAACACAAGAGCCAACTTGTTGACATACTTCACACCAACAAAGACGACTATAGCCATGAAGGTGAGAACGATGGTACCGTACACGCGCATGTTATTCAACAGCGCTGCCTCGGCTTCTGACCCCTCAAGACCCTCCATTTTAAATATGGCAGCTGATGGAACAATGTAGATCTACAAATAAAGAAGAGAAAAAAGTAAAATGAAACCACTTTTTCAGTTGAGAATGTAGTTGTTTAGATTGCAACTATGCAGTTTATCTACAAGGATAGTGCCTATTTTAAATATTTATCATTTCTGAGAGACAGCGCGTCATTGAGCTGACGGTTGATGTGAGTTACTATTTGGTTAGCCATCTGTTTGTTTTTGACGAGTCTCCTGTTTTCGTTACTGCAGACTAGTTCAGTAAAAAGAAAAAAAAAAAGAGACATGCTTGGATGTGTTTAGCATTTTACCTTTTCACAAACAGTAATCTGGTAGTATTTGCACTGCTTTGGCTTTTTCGGTGTTAATTATTGTGATCTCCCGATTGCAACAAAGAAATACTGGGAAATCTCTGTAGACTGATGGCATTTCAGTTCAGCCTTATAATCTTAAATTGTCTGCAAAATCATGTTTAGTCATTAGTTAAGATATTATGCAAGAGAATCATTAATTCAAATACTAGCTCAAAAGTGACAGTGGAGAAGTAGCAACGGTTTTTGCTGTACTGACCGTCAGCTGCAGATGTAAAAGAATGGTGGAAAAAAGTAGTTCCTCATACAAAAAGGATTTTGAGTGTTTGATTTTCTTTTTTATTAACATGATTATACCGTCAAACGGTTGTATAAATGCAATATTACATGAGTATTAGTGCGATGTGGCTGTATATTGGTACTAGTGGGACACTAAAGCAGGTCGCACACCAGAAGCACCGCTCGGCGCCGCGACACGGGGGGTACATGACAGTTTAAAGTATCACACACCAGACGCGCACATTCGAATGATATTTAACATGAAACTAATCAGATGGCGATCTGTGGCGCAGCTGAAAAATGAACTGCGTCCTGAGCCGTCGCCGAGCGCCGCCGACAGCCGCCGACTTGCGGCGCCGGTGTGTGTATCCTGATAGAAACCTATGTTTAGAATTCTAAAATACATGGCGCTGCGTGGCGCTGCGTGGCGCTACGTGGCGCGCCGCTGAGCGGCGCTTCTGGTGTGCGACCTGCTAAAGGCATTCGGCTTGTGGCTTTGTACCAATGCAGACCACCCACCAGTGCCGATATACAGCCAAATTGCACTGCTTCTCGTGTGATATTGCTCATATATATCATTGATTACTGGAATTTTTCACACATTAATTTCATCTAATAAACAAAATGGAAATACTGTGGTTAAATATTAATATTCATTTACTGAAATCACGGAAATAAACCTAGTAACACAAAAACATTGTATCAGTTTATTATAGATTGATAAAAAAATGACAGAAAATACTGTATTGCAGGGCAACGCAGTAGCGCAGTAGGTAGTACTGTCACCTCACAGCAAGAAGGTTGCTAGTTCGAGCCTCGGCTGGATCAGTTGCCGTTTCTGTGTGGAGTTTGCATGTTCTCCCTGAGTTCGTGTGGGTTTCCTCCGGGTGCTCTGGTTTCCCCCACAGTCCAAAGACATGCGGTACAGATGAAATGGGTAGGCTAAATAGTTCATTGTGTATAAGTGCGAATGAGTGTGTGTGGATGTTTCCCAGAGATGGATTGTGGCCGGAAGGGCATCCGCTGCGTAAAAATGTGCTGGATAAGTTGGCCGTTCATTCTGCTGTGTCGACCCCAAATTAATAAAGGGACTAAGCCGAAAAGAAAATGAATGAATGAACTGTATTAAAGAAAAAAATTTTGATTTTTGATTTTATAAATTTAATAATAGCAATCTTCCTTTTGCTAAAAATAGAACTTTAAGTTTCCACAATATACATCTTTTATATAGGACACAAAGTCTATTATTTATAGTTATGCATTAAAGTTTTTATAACCCATGTAAAACATGATCATAAATCATGAAAAAGATCATACATTTTTCATGTTATTTTACATTTAGATACTGTCCTGAAAAAAAAGTATTTGGTGTAAACCTCCTAAAGCATGTGGGTCCATTTTGACATAAGTGATACATAAAAAGGCATTGTTTGTAAAGAGAAAAAAAAATGCTTACGTTTTAAGACTTTAAAAATATCTGACAAAGAATTGAAAAAATACTTTGTCAAATTAAGTTTATGCAAATAAAAGTAGTTAGTTAAGTTAATTCCATTTATCTCAAAACAGTGAATACTTGTCACTGTAAGATTACATTAAAGTAAATTTCATACAATAATAAATACAAACTGCTCAGAAAAAAAAAAATTCTCTCCAAGTACCACCATAATGACCAGTATTAAAAAAAAAGTATGCCTAAATTAAGAAGCCACAGCTCTGCACAGTTAAAAACGTGGCAGATTAATTCTTATTATTATGAATATTTATTAATGTCAGCCACTTTAAACATTTATTTTATAAATAGTTTGAACATTAACACTGCACTGTGCTTACGGGTTTAAAATAAAACTGTCAATGTTTAAATTAAAATGTGCTTTTTAACATTACAAATATCCCTGTTCTTAAATTGTAAAAAGAAACTGCTTTACTTAAATGGAAGGCATTACCATAAAGTAGCCTGTTCATCAAAACCTGTAAATGTTCCTTGATAAATTTTTGAATATATGATGCATGTATATATGAGTTATTTGCATAAATTTGAAATCTAAACATTAACTTGTATTTTAAAGATATGAATTAGATTGATATATTTAAATTATAAATTAGATCTGTTTACTGCATCTTAGAGTTGGTTTTGTGTGTCAGAAAAGCAAGTGATTTAAGATTTATCAGTCAACATTTGGATATAAAAATACGGGATGCGCCCCCAACAACCGTTACAAATATGGGGAGGAAATTAGCTTCAAATGATAGAATACATAACAAACATTGGAAAATTTTAAATAAAATAAAGCTTTAGCTTATTAAAATCAATTTACTGATCACATTGGTGTTAGCGTACTCGTTAAAGGGTTAAAGTGGTAATTTTTTTAGCTTAATTATTCAGCGAGTCCTCCGCATACCACTAGAAGAAAGCCTGCATACCACTAGTGGTACGCGCACCAGTTTAAGAACCACTGCAATAATATGTTCAAGTCATTTTTTTCATTGATAATGGTTTGCTTTTTTGTTTAATTTACATTTTTATCAATTCCTCAACATTTTTAATAAAATAAAAACTGTGTCTCATATTTTACTAAAATTACTAGCATCTTGCATATTCATCAAGCGGTAAGATCTGATATCAAACAAAAGAGATGCAAAATAATGCAATTTATCATTTGGACCACTGGCTACTGAACTCTTCAGCTCTGCATGAAATGCCTGCATAATGAATTGTGGCTTTAATTTGTTGAAACTAATAGCACATTCAGTAAAACCCAATGAAATTGTACCAGCAGGATTTCGATGCACCCCAAGATGTACATGGCTCCAGCAAAAGTGGTGCCCAAGAAGAAACAAATGCCAACAGCTCCTCCAAACTCCGGTCCGAGTGATCGAGAGATCATGTAGTACGAACCTCCAGCTAAATAAACAGGGAAATTCACCATTCAATGCACAAATATAAGCAGTTGATTATTTAAGCATTATAAGTTGTCATTACATTTTCTTTTCTTTAAAGGAGACCCATCATGCACGTTTTAACAAGATGGAAAATAGCTCCCTGATGTCCCTAGAGTGTTTATGTAAAGTTTCAGCTTAAAACACCACACACAAAATGTTTTATAACTCTTTGAAACTGCCCCTTTTAGGCTTTGATCCAAATTGTGCTGTTTGGTGGCTGTCGCTTTAAATTCAAATGAGATTGAGCTCTTTTCAAAAGAGGGCGGAGCTACAAATGCCTGTGTGACAGCATAGTGGCAGATTCAAATACAAGATAATGCTCTGTGATAATGACGGGAGATCATTGCTAGTGGGCAGGGCTTTACCCCCTTGGATGACACGTTAAAAAGAGAGAATGTTAATCAATGTGTTTCTGCAGTGTTTTTATGAAGTGTGCGTATATATATATATATAAAAAAAATACATATTTTACCATTAGAAGCTTGTTATATTCACAGACTGTTGCCATACAGCTGTGTTTAAGCCCCTTATAAAAGTGCTTTTTGCATAATAGGTCCCCTTTAAATATAGTTTTTACACAAATCTACAGGTTCCTGTTATTTCAAATAAACACAGATCCAAACATGCATCCAGGCACATATAGTTATGAGTCCAGAGCTGATCTTAGCACAGTTGGGAGCAGTACAGTGTATTGTAGCTAACTGCCCATGAAGAACAACAGGACAGCTGTCCTCTGGGCGTTTGCACACATATACAAACACTGCGAATTCTGCTCACCTGGCACAACTCCATTGGTGGCAATAGCACTCATTGAGATAGCAGTCAGCATAGTCTGTAAATAGAGTAAATAAAGATCAATGCAGAGGGGACAGTGAGTGACAAAGACAAGAGGCCCCGCTCCAGCCCTCCGGTGACCCGTGAAAGAAAAATGTACTTATTAGAAAATAAACACTGAGTACAGTTGTTTGGCCGTGGCTTTGCTATATAGCAGAGTCCCAGGACTCGTGATTTAAAGTGATGTACATGCAGAAACAGTACTATGTGTAATTATACAATACACATTTGATTAATGGTGATGTGTCATATTTTAAATGTTGATTACATATTGAAACACTTTACAATGAGGTATAGGGGTATATAGGGATAAGGTATGAGAATGTCAATCATACAGTTGACATTAGCCATTGTCTTTCACAGTAGTCCAATTCTATGGAAATCATTGGCTACCATCAATTGTTTGGATACCAACATTCTTTTGTGTTTAACCAAAGAGAGAAATTTATACAAGTTTGACAAACATAAAGTTGAGTAAATACTGAATATATCCACATTTCGAGGTGAACTGTACCTTTAACTACACTGTAAAAAATGGCTGTAATTTCAACAAAAAACTGCTACAGTAAAAATCTGTAACCTGGTTAACAGAAAGTATAAGTAATATATACCATGAATAACTGTAAATTGTTCCCTGCATGACTTTTTGTTGAAATTACCATGATTTCTTACCCCCTCCCCCCTATTAACTATGTACATTAAGGGCTCTATATTAACAGTCTAGATGCAAAGACTAATGCGCAATGGCGTAAAAGCATTAAGAGCATGTCCGAGTCCATTTGCTATTTTAAGAATGGAAAAATATGGTTTGTGGCACGGCGCTTGGTCTAACAGGGTTGTGCTTATTCTCCTGATGAGTTTATGATGGGTGTATTTTAAGTATAACCTGCCCTAAACCAATCAGTCTCATCTCATATTCTCTTTAAGAGTCAGTTAAGTGGCGCATTTGCTATTTACATTACTGATTTTAAAAGTGGAAAAAAATTTATGGAAAAACTGAACGCTTCACTAGTGAGAAAACAGTTAAACAGACCATCTGCACAAGGATAAAGAATGAGCCTTCTCTATTCGGCCTCTTTACTTTTTCTTTACTTTGACTCTTTACTAATTTAGTAAATTATAAATTTTGTATCATTTTAACCTTTTTTTTTCCATGTGTAAAGATATTTGTGTATTGCTGAACATCCCTTGTGTATTAAGCATTTGAACCTGCAAAGGTACACAACTAACGTACTCTGCACTGGACTTTAGACCAGCTTTTACTTGGTCAATGTTTATTTCAGTTCCTCAAAATAGCAATGCTCCAACAATGCGCCTCAACACAACTCCTTTAAAGATCGCACATGAGTCCAAAAAGTGGTGCAAACGGATTTTCTATTTAAACAATGTGGCACAAAAAGTGAATTATAATGTTGCGCTAATCTGAAAATAGCAACAATAGACAAAACACATATTGAGCCTTATTGCGCCAGGTGTTTGATAGGGCCCTAGAGGCTTATGTTCTCTAATGTTGATAAATAATGTGTTTAGTAGTTAAGTGAATGATACAGACATATATTTATTAGTATATTTTGAAACTGACCATATAAAAAATTATTAGCAAAAAATACATGTTTTTAGAATTAATAAGCACTTATTTTTAAATGTTTAATCTGATATGATGCTGTTTAAAGTTTATTTACAACCAAAACAACCAGAAGCTTTACAATTAAACAAAAGTCAAGTGCAAAAACATATTATAAACAAACCATGTTATCTTTCTTTGCTTTCTTAATCTAACATTTTTTTAAACTAGAAAGGCATATGTAAACTATATATATGATTTTTAATATGAAGAAGTTTGTCTGAATTTTTCACAATATTCATTTAAGCTGCATTTGTGTGTTTGGGTTTAAACAATTATGTTATTTTATTACTGAGAGGTCTAGATAGGAGTTGTGCAAACACTAAGCTTTGTTTCACAGTGGATGTGTTTTGTTAACTCTTTCAAACTATAAATAATAAAACCAAAAGTAAATATATAAAAACTAAATACAAAAGTATAAAACAAAAAAAAAATATTTAAACAAAAATTAATAAAAAAAAAAACATTAATGAAAGGTACTAATACTAAACTAAAATGTATAGCCAATTAAAAAATATTATAGAAACAGAAACATTTTTAAAATACAAAACTATAATAAACTTGCTGTGCTTGCATGTGCGCATGCTTGCTTTAGTTTGGCAGGGTCAAAAGGGCATGACAGGGGATTTATGTTGATAGAATCTAAAGGGACAGCTTTCAGCTTTTTGACTTCAAACAATATTAAAAGAGAAATGACAGGAGGGCAAAGAGCTCACAGTGGGACAGCACATATGCTTACATAATGCTACTAAAACTCACAAAATACCTCAAATATATTACTAAAATGTGACATGAGCACGCACAGAAGGCACACACGCTATTGTAATCACAAACATACAAGAATGGCTTGTATTAAACTAGCAGCTCTGAAATGGTGAACATTTAGCTTTATGTTCTTGGCAGAAACTCCATCTGGCACACTCGCTTACTGACTAACCAAAGTGACTTACAACAAAGCGATTGTATAACTGCAAGCATTTTTTTAGTTAACAGTGCAGAGAGCTAAAAGGAAACCCTAAGGTCTCAAGAGGGAGTCTCTGAAGGTCTTGCTTCATAATATAAATAAAAAATTCTGCTTTCCAGGGCTATTTGTTGGCATAGATGCTATAAGCTACATTCGGATCTGAAGAAAAGTGTGGCTATTTGTGGAGAACTTGAGCAATTGGAACTGTGTGTAACAAATCCCAAGCGTACATGCATATGAGTCTGAAACTAACCGTGGAGCAGCACATGAAGACGATGGTGAAGGTTCCCAGGACGCCTCCAACACCCACTAGCCAGGTCATCCTGAGGAACAAAATCACCCCAAGGATGTTTTGAAGACATGGTAGGTAAACGCCCATTATTGTGCCCATACGAGGAGCCTGTCAATGAAGAAGTCAGCAAATCAGTAATCAGGACACCGTGTAAATCAATAGTTTGAAACATAAAAGTCAATGTCACTTATAGACAGCATCATTAAATGGTAGTTTTAGCTGATTGTTTGTGAACATCCACCTTTGATTGGGTGCCATTGATCAATGTACAAAAGACCTAACATGCATATAGCGCTCTATACACCTCATTCTGAAATGCAGATGTATTTCAAATAGTTAACAGCAGTGTAAAATAACAAATCAAAAACACTCCAATTACTGTAACTGAGTAGATTTTCTCAGTAGTTTTAAAAGTGTGTACTTTTACTTTGCCTTAGGCAAATTTTTAGCTCTGTATCAGTACATTTACTCCACTACTTTCCTTCAACCAGCAGTCACTACTTTATTCCTTTCTTGTCTATGCTGTGTTTTCTGTACAATCAAATCACTCATAGAAAGTAAATCGCATCATACTGAACAACCTTAAGACATGGGTGCTTTAGAAATGCAGCAAACCTTTCCAAAATCATGTCCAAAATCTTTACACACAATGACCCAGAGACTGTTTATCTGCTTGTTAAGTGTTACGTCACTCGAACCGCATTCCGCGTCCAAGCTCCCTATCAAACTTTATGGGGAGACAGTCATCAAATGGTAATAATAAACATTTACAAAGCGCTGTAACGTTTTTGAAAATCACAATCGCAATATATATAACCATGCTTAATTTGCAATGGCCAGCAAGTGATAAGTTTTTTTAAAATTGGTAAAATTTTGGTATTTGTGATGCAGCATGTAAAGAGGCACCATGATTACACCATGATTAAAAAGTGGCCATAATCAAATATTTTTTCAATTAAAATGAGTAGCGGCTTGGACTCAGAAACTGTATTCCATATGTCAACGATATAGCATGACTTAACAAGCGGATAGACTTCATGTTACTGATCAGAAAATTAAGGATGTCAATTGTACGATGACTGAAATCGCCAAACAGCCTTAAACAATCACTAAATGGAACGAATGAAGAATGGAAGGAAGGGCCAACAAGGAATGGAAGGAAGGACCAAATGAATGAAGAAAATATTCAAGGAAGGATTGAACAAACTAACAGACAAATATAGGAATGAACGAATGAATAAATGAACAAAGAACCAAATAAAGGAAGAAACAAAGGTATAAATGAGAGAATGAATAATTGAACGAATGAAACGAGGAACGAAGGAAAAAACAAATTAATAAAGGAACGAACGAACAAACAAACGAACGAATGAAGGAAGGACAAAACAAACAAACAGTGGAAGGAATTAATATAGGAAGATCACTAAATGAACTTCAGAATGTTATGTTTACACATCCCTTCACAAACTGCATGTAAACGCATCAACTTTTCACAGTGTAGTACTCACTACTCGCTCCTCTTGAGTACTTTACAAGGGCTACTTTTTACTCATACTTTGAGTAATTTACAACAGATACGTTTACTCGCACTACATGTTTGGGTAAGTAATAGTACTTTTACTTGAGTATGATTTTTCAGTACTCTTTCCAGCACTGATAGTTAATAGTAAAATTGTTGTGTGTAAATAATATCTTTACAAAATCAAACAGCGTGGGCTGTATTTCTCAAAACTTTCTTAAAGCTATGTCATTCTGAAGCTGTGCCTTAAGCTGGACATGTGTTTACCACTATCTTTGATAGGTATACCCTTACATACCCTTACAGCACGACAAGAAATGTTATACCCATTGTTAAGATGTATATTTAGATACTTTATAGCCAACTATGAGACGACATTGTCTGGAAACTGAAAAAATGTCGATTCCTTCAAGATTTTGTTTAAGAACAATGCTCATGAGAGTTTAAAGTTAAAGTTCCTGGGACCATTCATTGCAATAAAGATCCAGTAAGTTAAACTGTAAGTTAAAAGACATAATAAGGATGCAATACAAATGGTATTGAAGCAATTTTGCAACATTCAACAAGAAAATAACATGTTAATCAACAATACAAAGTTAAAATATGAGACAAATACAAATTGTTCACTAAAATAAATCTAAAAAGGATTTACATACATATTTATATTTTTATATATAAATAAAAACACTGGTATTATTTTATAGTTTATTTTAATATTAAATTAGAATAAAAAATTTCCTATTTTAGCCATAAAAGTTCAAAACACAACAGTGTGTTTAAGTCAGTTCAGTGTAGATTTGGTTAAGTTTTATAACAGAAATTTCATTGTGATCGATGTGCAAAAAAAAGAAACGTTTTTAATATCTTACAATTCTGCCAAAACAATCTTTGCTAACAAGCATACAGTTAAAAAATACAACACTTCACAATACTATGTTGTAAAAATACAATATTTAATAGTTTACATGGAGACGATTTAGAAATAATAATAATAATAATAATAATAATAATAATAATAATAATAATAATAATAATAAAATTGAACCTCCAAAATGGTGATACATTGAAATATGTTCCATATTTGGCTAAAAACAGGGTCACACTTTATTTTGATGGTCCTTTTCTTGAATTTAAGTTACATTGCATCTACATGCCAATTAATTATCATTAGATTATATGTAGACTTTTAAGTTGGGGTTAGGTTTAGAGTTAGGGTTAGTGTCAGTTAAATGTCTGTTGAAGGAGCAGTATCAACTGATATTAAGCAGACAGTCTACTAATACTCATATGGACCATCAAAATAAAGTGTTACCAAAAACAGTGTCATGTCCTCATAATTTTATTGATACTGCAAAATTGTAAACAAACCATGAAACTATGAAACAAATTCAAAGCAGCCCTACAGAAAAAAAAGAGTCATTATTCAGCTCAAGTGAGTTTGGTATTGATTCAGTATAGCTCAAAATTTAAAATGAAAGTAATTCAGTTCAGCTATCATAATGCAGCTCTTTAAAAGGAAATTATGTCATCATCCAGCTCAACTAAATTCAAGCTTATTCTGATCAAAAATTAGGATTTGTGATGATTTGGCAGTTGAAGTGTTTTTGTCACCTGTGCAGCTTTCTTGCGTGCCTCCTCATTGTTTTCTGCCTCTTCATGCTCTTTACTGCCCTGTGTCAGGTTGGAGTAGTTGGCAAGACTGCTCAGCAGAGAAGATACCATGGGACTAGTGTCCATCTCCTCCTACAAAACACACACACACATACCAACAAATATGTAAATTATCAATCTACTGTTACCTTTTAAAACATTTTGAAATTATTAGCAATACTGGGATACCTCAAACAGAGCCATGTTTTTCCCATCATACTGCTGGCTTTTTTCTACGTCACTGGTGCTGCTGTTGATGAAAGGGCTGCTTTCCTTGGATGTTGCATCTCCTGTGAACATATAAAAGTGAGACAATAATATTTATTAGCATACAGTTGAAATCAGAATTATTAAACTTTTTTTTTTTTTTAATATTTCCCAAATGATGTTGAACAGAGCGAGGAAATGGTCACGGTATGTCTGATAATATTTTTTCTTCTGAAGAAAGTCTTAAAAAATAAAAAAAGTTTTTAATAGTTTAATAAACATTTTGGCTCCTATATTATTAGCCCCTTTATGCTATATATATATTTTTTTAATTGTCTACAGAATAAGCCATTTTTATACAATAACTTGTCTAATTATTCTAAATTGTCTAGTTAACCCAATTACCCTAGTTAAGCCTTTAAATTTCATTTTAAACTGTACAGAAGTGTCTTGAAAAAATCTAGTAAAATATAATTTACTGTCATCATCGCAAAGATAAAAAAAAAATCAGTTATTAAAACTATTACGTTTGGAAATGTGTTAAAAAATGTTCTATTTGTTGAACAGAAATTTGGGGGGGGGGGGGGGTGGGCTAATAATTCAGGGGACTTAATAATTCTGACTTCAACTGTATATGCTGGATTGCATGTGCAGTGAGGATAAAAACTGAGCTTTTAGAACACTTATTATCTAAAAACAATGTATTAACATTAGCAAGTTATTCAGAAAAGTTTGAATGGCTTAATTTAGCAAAGATACAGTACATTAATTTGTAAAATGTGACAATGTGTATTTACATTAATTTTATATTCAAAATATGTTCATTTCAACTAAATACCAACTCAGGCTCAATATTGATTTATACCCCTATATACATTTGTGGAGATCGCAAAATATGTCCCAGGAGGTTCATTTTTTAGAGTTTTTGTTTTTGCCAAATCACCAGAAGCCACTGTGTATTAATCTTGCCATGATAGACGGTGTTGACGGTGTTACCGGTTTTAAGACGCAACACCGGTGACATGACTTTTCCACCATGACATCATCTCCACGTTTTTTTTTTTTTTTTACAGTTTTCGTTTTTTATTAAACATTTATTTGAATTAAATGGAAAATACAATTCTAAATTATTCACTTAAGACGAGAGCATACTATAAATAAAATCTGAGCTACAATGCATCATATTTCATTTATCACGTGAGGAAAACGAGAGAAGTGGACTTTACAGAAAGAGAATGGCGGATGATTTAGTGTCAAACGCAATGCAAAAGCACCTGTTTATTTATAATTTATATACGCATATTCAACGCACCTGCTTGATGTTTAACTATGGGTGGGTCACGGGTATATAAGATCAATAGCCATAAATAGGCAATGCATACTCTCATTTTAAAAATCACGCAACCATTATCTCACAATGTTTATTAATAAATAATCTTATTTTTTATTAAAACGAGTGATTTAGCAATGCCATGTCATTAATAAGCCAACTGCAGAGAAACAAAGCAACCATCGTGGCAACCGCAGTGATCTTTTTTTACGAAGTTCAGCTGTTCTTGCACTTGATTATTATGCGTTTAATGTTAAAAAATGAATAATGAATGTTATATCACCCGACAAGAGTGTATCCTGTGTATGTATGTGTGTGTGTGTGTGTGTGTTGTGTGTGCGTATTTTATCACTGAAGCCGCTCTCTTCAAAACCCGAAAGTTGATTCGTCTGTCTGGCAATATTTCGGCTTTTAAATCAAATGAAAAGTTAATTTAGATGAGCCAATATTAAAAATAGCAGCAAAGTAACTGTGATGTGCGGCCACACATCGAATCTGAGGTATGATCTTATCTCTCTCTGGCGTTCATCCAGACATCCATACAGACGCCACACAAGTCTGAGACTGGTAGCAGCTGACAGGTAGAATAGCTGAAGCGTTTGCAAAATCTGTCAAAATACAGCTCTGAAATTGACAGGCATAAATGTCTTTGAGCCAAAAAGTCTATAATAATTATATTAATTCTAATAAAATGAAAATCAAAATAAAGAATTCATGGCATTTTTGCATTGCAGTTTGATAAAAAATATACGGAAGCGAAAAAAATCAAAGGGTGGCTAGTTAGCATTAATGTGTTTTAATATAAATACAAATATGCTGATCCTGTTTAAGCTTAACGGCTATATACGTCGCCAATAGGCAAGCCATTCAAAAACTTACTTAATTATTTTACTGTGCACTGGGTTATAATGTATATTATACAATAAAAACTAAATGTAGCATGCCTCACTGTCATTAAACAGTAGCTGTAGCTGTAGTCTATGCAGTGTGTAAACTTACAGGGAGGTGTTGGTCAATAGTCAAACTGCGCACCACTTTATTAAATTCCAATATCTCTGAGGGAGATTGTTTTATCAGATAGCCAATATTAACCTGAGAGATTTTACAAATAAAAGGTATTTTAAAAAGGAACAACACGCAAATAACAAAACAAATAAAACTGGTCTCGTGGAGTTTATTACTTGATCTTGCCAGTGTATGCCGTGTAGCGCCCTTATGCAGCGCGTGTTGGCAATTATTGCAAAACTGAAAGTGAAAGTATAATACGCACGCTTTTATAAGTTATTTAAAAGCAGAAAAAAGAGAAAAAGCGGAAACCGCCACGATGATACTGGTATTACTGGTGTTGTCATATGTCAATTAACCGGTGGGGAAATTTCCTCATCGTCACAACCCTACTGTGTATACTTTTTAAGATCTCAAATCTCTCTCTCGAGTGCCATTAGCGCCTACTGTTCTTGCTTAAATCCACTAGAGGCCGCTGTCTACTGATTGACTAACCGATAACCCCCACACAGCTCTTTTGCCTTTTTTCAAGAATGAGTCGTTTATATGTGTTTTAACATCGTTTATTCATAACAAACATAGGCTATAGGCCACTTAGAAGTTGGAACAAAGAAATAAAATAAGTCCTCCGTAACATTGTAACATCTCAGCACTCAAAAATAGGCCTAGGTACATAGCATTTAAATTGGCCAACACACCAATGAAAATTTGTCTTTCGTAACAAATTAAATTAAAATATTTTAAATGATATTAAAATATTTCAAATAAAATTTTTTATTGCTCGTGCTGCTGCTGGCCAGGATGCATACAATAGTACAACTGATCTGGCTAATTTTGCAAGTCAAGTTTTGGGTAGGACTGTTTGTTCATCTTTCACCAGCCAAGAACATCCATTTCATTTTCCATGACAGTGGTTTCAGTGTAGCGAGTGACCTCATCATTCACCTTTGCAGGGATGGGTTTTAATGTTTTAACAAACTATTTGATTACTTTTCTCGAGCTTATTGAAATGCATCACATGACAAACTAAAGCGATGGGTCCCGTCAGGTTCCTTCAGGTTCGTACAAAAATCTTCAGCTCTGCCACAAACGATTGACCCGATCACCCTCTTCCATAAACCCAACCTACAGTGTTTTCAAAAGCAATCTAGAAATATATATATATATATATATATATATATATATATATATATATATATATATATATATATATATATATATATATATATATATATATATATATATATTTTTTTTTTTTTTTTTTTTTTTTGGCTGCCTGATTTACCATATTTTTAGATCTTACCTCATTCTCACCCTGTTATTTACCAGTTTATTTTTTTGCTTTTTGTTTATGTACATGGCGAGCTTCTGGACAAACTGGTAACAGTGGAAAAGCCATCCATAGAGCCATCCGAAAAAAAACAGAAGCTCTTGGCGGAATCATACCACGCCGTAGCGTTCATTTTAAAGACAAAATGCAGCCATTTGTAGCTCTGGGTACATAATTCATGCTCTCTAGAAACGTAAACAAGGGTACGTTTTGACATTGAGCTGGTAAATGAGCTGGTAAATACATCACAGTTTACACAAAAACATATATTAAGCAGCTTTACGAATAATAATACATGTTTCCTGAACATCAGCACAATTACTTTCTAAAAGATTATGCTCAAAACTGGAGTAATGGCTGCTAGAAATTCAGCTTTGCTATCACAGGAATAAAACAACATAATTTATTAAATATTTATAGATTGCTCAGCGTTCATCAAAATAAGCATCAAGCAAACACACTGCATTAGTAATTTGTCAGACATTGTTCCCAATAGACTTGCTTACATGCCATCAATGTCAACACATCAGCACATAATACTAAAGAACAATCTTGTAGTGTCATCATCAGATTGATAACATTGGCTCAAAATGTGCTGTTTTTGTAAGAGAGGCTTGTCTCGCAACATCTCTTTCAGATCTCACACGAACTACAAGTGCTGCGTATAGTACTACTATAACAAGTCATTGCATCCTCTTGTCTACTGGGAGAAAAAAGAACAGGAAGATTTCCATAAAGAAACACAAAGCATCACCACAGAGAGATCCTTGTGTATCAGTGTGTGAGTGTGGGTGAGGAATTCCTGGATTTCTAGATACTCTTCCATAGCAACAACCCGGTTCTGAGCCTATTTTTATACTAGCGTGTTCAGCCGCACATCTTTTATCACGGAAACCTTTGATCAGTTAATTCTGAAGCGTAGTGCAACACAAACCCCTCACAGGTTCAAAACGACATTGTTGTGCCCTATAAATATGTCATGATTTTTTAATTGTGTGTATCTCTAAATTGCAGCGTGTGTTGTAATTTCTTTCGCATGCTGTCACCTCCCCTGCCTTCTCTAACATAATTATATGTAGGAGCATGCTCATTAAATGGCCATGGGAATCCTGCCTCTTAGCTTGCCTGGTTTAATCTGATGTATTAGTTTAATTAATCATGCTTCCTGGCAAAGCTTTATACATTTTAATTTACACAGCATTTGCCTGCTTATTGACCTGCGACCCTACGACCTTTAAACACACAATTCATCACCTTGTAATTTCAACTGTCAGCGCTGAATCAATACTCCGAGCCTTCTGCTTCCTACAGTAGATTTGAAACTCAAGGACACGCAAAAGAAAATCTCAGACACAAAGCATTAATCACTTCAACTCTCTGACTCTATGATGAAATAGTAAATAATTATTATAAAAGTA